TGAAAGAGAAATGGAGGAAAATATAAACCTCTTTCTCATAACTTTAATTGTGAATGGATTAAACAATCCAGTAAAATGAAACAGTGACAGATTGGATAAGAAAACAAACCCCTCTAATGTGTTGCTTCCAAGGAGCACATTTAAATAACAGAGAAACAAGCAAAATTGAAGGGGATGGAAAAAATTCACTGTGTATTAAGTGAATCCTAAAAAGTAGGAGTTGCAATCATGCTGTCTGACAAAGCAAAAACAAACATTTGAAAAATAAAAAGGAGGTAAACAAAGAAATAACAGTGTGCTGAAATTAGCATAGATAACAAATCAAAATCAGTAATAACACAACAAATTAGTATGAGGAATAAACATATATGCTTTAAATTATTTAGCATCCAAATTCATAAAGGGAGCATTAATTGAGCTATAAGAAAACATAGATGGTAACACTATAGGGACAGGAGAATAAAATATCCCTATCTCAGTCTTGGATAATTTTAATAGGAAGATAGAAGGAAAAATATGGAATTCAACAAATTGCTAGAGAAACTAGAACTAAAAGACCTATGGTAGCTTCTAAATGAGACTGCAAATGTGTATGCATATTTCTCTGAACTGCATGAAACTTTTCCCAAAAATTGACCACGTATTAGGGCACAGAGATCTTACAAGCAGATGTAAAAAGGCATCAATAGTAAGAACAGCGTTTATAAACCAAAACACGAGATGGTTCTTGGTTCAGGGACCACAAGCAAAAGACAGACCCCAATGGAGACTTAACAATGAAATCCCAAATAATGAGTGGATCAAAACCTAAATCACAGAAAAAATTATGTAAAAGTAAGTGATAATGATGAAACAACAGAGGAAATTTCTAGGGTGCAACGAAAGCAGCCCTGAAGGGGAAAAATCATATTCCTATAAATATACGTTAACAAAAGAGAAAAAGAGGATTAATGAATTGAATATGCGTTTTTAGAAATTAGAAATCCAACAAATAAACCTAAAATAAATAAAAGAGGATATATTCAAAATTAAAGGAGAAATAGGTAAATTGGTAACAAATGATAACTAAAACTAAAAGCTCGATCTTTGAAAAGACTAATAAAATGGATAAACCTTTAGCTAATATGGTTAAAAAGAAGAGAGCAGAAAATAAAACCAATTAAATAGCAAATGAACAAGTTGAAATTGCATCAAAATCTGGAGAAATTAAAAGAATTATATCCTAACATAACTAAGAACACCAAAAAGAGGAATACCTTCAAAAATACAACATACCCAAACTATCTGGAGACCAGATAGAGTTCTTAAATAACTCGATCTCAGAGAAGGAAATAGATGTAAAGGAATTACTGGGGTTGGGGGGGGTAGGGATGGGGGGACGGACAGGACAGGGGTGGGGCAGGGAGAAACTCCTGATCTTGATAAATTCCCAGGAGAACTCTGTCATATTTTAAAAGAATAATTAGTACTTATACTTTACAAATTATTCTCTGAAAGTGAGAAACAAAGCAGCCTCCTAGAATCTTTTTTGGTAAGACAAATATAAGTCCTAATACCTAAACTAGGGAAAGAGGAAACAGAAGGAACACCTATAGATCAATATCATTAATGAATATTGACTAAAATTTTTTTTAAACAAAATCCCATTGAATAGACTACAGTGATTTAGGGAAGAAATAATTTATTATGACCAAGTAGAATTTATACCATGGATGCAAGGATGGTTCAACATTAGGAAAACAGTCAACATAACTAATCACATTAAAAAGCAGAACATCCAAAACCATATAATTAACAGATGCAGAAAAAGCCTTTGACAAAGCACAGCACTCATTTATGCTAAAAACCCTGCAAAGTACAGGCACAGATGGGTTTTTTTTAAGGTCATAAAAAGCATCAGTCTACAACCAAAACCAGGGATCATGTGCAGTAGGATACCCTGGAACCTTTTCAAGTAAATATGGGAGTGAGCACGGACACCCACTCTTCCCATGACTATTTGATATTCTAGAAATATAGCAACATTGGTAAGACAAGAGAAAGATGAAAAGCATAAAGATAGGTAAAGAAGGGATGAAGACTATCCTTATTTGGATATGGTATACTTGGAAAATCCTAGGGAATCAGCAAAGCTATTGAGACAATTTAATTTTTTAGCTATTAATTATTAAATTAATAGCTTCAGCAAAGTTGCCTGCAACAAAATGAACCCTCAGAAATCAGTAGCATTCCTATACAATAGTAACAAGTCTCAGGAAGCAAAAACAGAAAAGAAAATCACATTCCAGATAACTACAAAATACATGAAATATACAAAAAAATTGTGTAGAGTCAATTATAAAATATTCCTTAAAGAAAAAAAGAATAACTTAAATAAAAGAAATAAAGAACAACTTAAATCTTCAATGTGTGGTTGGTTCATGGCAATATGATAACAATACTACCTAAGTTAATTTATGCTTTCAATGCTGCACCAGTCAATGAAAGGAATTCCTTATAGCATTTGGTAAAATAATAACATTCATTTGGAGATACAAAAGATCTAGGATATCAAGGGAAATGATGAAAAGAAGTAGGGAGGAAGGGGGAATAGCACTTCAGCCCTCAGACTGTGTTCTAAAGCAGCAGTCATCCAAACCACATGGCATTGATTAAAAAGGCAGCCACAGTGGATGGAGCATGAGGCCTGGAGTCAGGAAGACTCATCTTCCTGAGTCCAGATCTAGCCTTAGACACTCACTGGCAGTCACTTAATCCTGTTTGCCTCAGCTCTTCATCTGTAAAATGAGGGGGAGAAGGAAATGGTAAATCGCTCCAATGTCTTTGCTGAGAAAACCCCAAATGGGTGACAGAGACTTGGACGTGACTGAAATGACTGAGCAACATTGGTTAAAAAATAGAGAGAGACCAGCGGGACGGACCAAACAAAAACAGTGACTCGGCGTTCAGTAAAGTGGAAAATACAGATTATCTAGGGGAAAAAAGCTCCTTATTTGATTAAAAACTGCTGGGAAAACCAGAAAGCTGTCTGGCGTGAACTAGGCTTCGACCAGCACCATGCACCATGTTCCACAATGCGTTCTATCCGGATGTACAGCTTTCATCTTAAAAAGGGGTAGATCATGTGCCTCTCACAGCTGTAGGTAGGAGAGATATTCTTTTTTTTTTTTAATTTTTTTTAATTTTTAACTTTTTATTTTTAGGTAATTGGGGTTAAGTGACTTGCCCGGGGTCACACAGCTAGTAAGTGTTAGGAGATATATTCTTAACCAAACCAGAGATAGAGCTAATTTCAAAAGATAAACTGGGTACTTTGCTTACATGAAACCAAAGAGTTTCTACACAGACAAAATTAATGAACCTGAATAAGAAAAGAAATGGTCAAATGGGGGAAATGTGTATATCACATTTCACTGATAAGGGTCTGGTATCCAAAATATTTAAACAACTATATATGTGAGGTTAATAGCCATTCCTCAGTTGGTAAGTGGTCAAAAGATAGGACTAGTTTTTAAAAGAAGAACCCAGAGTATCTGCAGCCCCATGAAAAAAATGTTCCAGATCAGTAATAATAAGAGAAATGCCAGTCACAGTCACCCCAAAGTTTTACTTCACACCCTGTAAATTGGCAAAGAGGACAAAAAATGGAGACTGTCGATGTGGGAAGGCTGGTGGAGCGACAGGCACCCTGACATGCTGTTAGCGGGTATGTGAAATGATGCGACCATTTTGGAAAGCAGTTTGGAAGTATGCAAATAAAATATCAGTGGCCTTTGAACCAGAGATTCCATTACTGAACTAATTCCCCAAGTAAGTCATTTATGATAAGAAAGTCCTCAAAAACGCCAAAAGATTTATGGCACTTTTTGTGGTAGCAAATAATTGGAAGCAAAGTAGACATGCATAGATTGGGGAATGGGTAAATAAATGGTGTCACATGAATGGAGTGTCATATTCCTGCGCTGTAAGAGATAGGTGTGTGATAAATGCAGAGAAACATGATGCAGGGTAAACAGCCAAAAACAATCTACACCACGACGCAACACAAACGGAAAAAAAGGACAAACCAAAACCCAGAAGTAAATGTAACAAGATGTGAAAGTCCAGCAGAACTGGACCCAGAAGGAAGAGAGGCGAGAGGACACCCCCAGTCCGCCCCTCAGTGGAGGGGAAAGGTCCACAGTGGTGACGCATGGCAGGTTTGGGGACTTTTTCAGTGGATTGATCAGTTGTGCTGATTTTTTTCTTTTCTTTTTTTTTTTTGGAGGGAGGGAAACATCTTTAAAAATACCATATATACCATATGAATATGGTATAGCTCTATGGGAAGGGGAGGGTTACTGGGGATAATTATGATGATGTAAAAACATAAAAACATTTTCTAAAAAATAATATAGGGTAATGCTTTCCCCAGATGAGCCTTATCCATATTTCTGGGGAGAGGAAATTACGGCTAAAGAGCCCATCATCATATTTGCGTTTACCTGGAACGAAGGAAGCCATCCCTTTTTGGAATACATTTCTTCATTTCGTCTCCTCAAGAGAGGCAGCTTGGTAAATGGGAAATGGTGCTGGCCCTGGAGCCTGTCTAGGGCCGGCTTGTGACTGCCACCCTGGTCCCTCATAAGCTATGTCACTTTATCTTTCTGACCCTCAGTTTTCTTATCCACAAATTTGTGGATGAGAATATAGTAGGTAATAAAAGTGTGTTGAGTGAATACAGGTCCTGTCCGTACATCTGCTGTTTCGAGGATCGTTTTGAGCTGTCCAGCTTACCATCTTTAATGCTCAGTAACAAGGCTACGCTCACTTGGTGTAGAAAAGCCTTGGTTCTGAATAGGCAGGATTAAGTTTGTTTTGTTTTTACTGATGTGTTGATTGAGAAAGGAGGAGTAGGAGGAATAGGTGATTTCATCTCTCCTACACTAGCTTCTTTATTCTGGGTAACAGTTCTCTTTGGGACTAATGGGGTGATGCTTATCATTTGTGATTATTCTCAGAGACAATCAAATGCTTCTCAGACCCTCTGTGATATCATCCGACTCAGCAGAGACCAGAGCAGTCAGACGCAAGAGATTTCTGAGCCTGACCCCCTCCTCACAGTCTTGGAGTCGTGAGTATCCAGTAACAGCCAGGCTGCTGGCCACGTTGTCCTCGAATTCCACTTCAGCTGGGCCCTGCTTGCTTTAGAGGAGATTTCGCTCTGGGCATGGATTTCAGTTCATTTTTGTGTTTTCCCACTGACTTCAGAGTGGACTGCTCAGTGCTTTCATGCCCGATGTCCTGTTGGAGTAAGTGCAGGAGGACGAGCCTCCCTGCATCAGCCAGGCTTTCCTGCTGTTTGGTGGGACCTTCAGCATGACCAGCTGCTTTCCTTCTGACCTTAGTGGGGGCTCCATGATTCATTCTCTTTTTCCCTGACAATAACTCAAGTGTCTATTTAACAGACAGGGATGTGTGGAACGGCTTCTAAAGAACATGTTTGATGGAGACCTGACTGAAAACTGCTTAGTCAATGGCACTCAGATTTTACTGACGTTGTTGGAAACAAGGAGATCTGGGTAAGTCCTTTTCTTAAAGAAGGTGCGTCTGGGTGGCATCTAACCTTAACACTTACCTAGCACCTGAGAAGTTTGGGGGTCATTTTACTTGTTATACCATCATCATTCAGTCAGCAAACCAGTAAGTATGTGTCAGGCCCTGGGTGAGGCCCTGGTAAGACAAAGACAAAACCAAAGGGGTCCTTGCCTTCGAGGAGCTTACATTCTAATGGGGGAGACAGCATTTACAAATAGGAGTACACATGAGATAGATGCCAAATACCTACAGGGTAATATGGGGTGATAGTAGCTGAGGATATCAGGAAGGCCCCATGTAAAAGGCAGGACTTCAGCGGAGCTTTAGGCAAAGATGTGGAAGATGTGCATCCCAGGGAGGTAGTACAGCTAGTGCAAAGGCGTGGAGAAGGGACAGGGGTTGCTGAATGTGGGAAACAGCAAGAAAGTCGGTCTGGAGAAAAGGACTAAGCAGGGCTGAAAAATGAAGGGCTTTGAGTGCCAAGCAGAGGAGTGAATTCAGCAGAGCCAAGAAAACAATGTGCAGAGTGACTGCAACAATGTAAAGGGACAGAACAGCCACAAAACTAGAGTGAGTATGGCAGGGTTTAAAAGAATACGCTTTTCCTCAAAGAAGAGATACAAGAAGGTACCTGCCTTTCCTGAGACCGGGGTATAGGAGCGTCAAACATCGCACATTCTGTCAGGCTTTTCCAGTGTCCTGGTTGGTTTTGCTGATTTCTTCCTGCCTCCTTGTTGTAAGGGATGGCTCACTGGGAAGGGTGAATTCTAGGTAATAGAAAAATGAAAATATCCACAGAATCTATTTTATTTTTAAGACAAAACAATTGTAACAATTAAGGGCATCCAAAAATTGAGTGTGCCGCTCCTGTCAGGAGTGGGTTCTCTGTCACAGGTAAGAGTTCAGACAGAGGCAAGAGGACCATTTGTTAGGAATGCTGTCGAGGAGAGGTGGGGGAACTGGATGAGATTGGATCGTGTGACCTCAGACTTACCTCCAAGTCACAAATTTTGTAAATCCTCTGAGAGATGCAAAGCAAGGATCTGGCTGCGTCTCGCCTTTCCAGACCTCTTCCCGTAGGGTGCAAAGGCCAATTTTGTTAGAATTCCACTGATGGAATGCTTATGATACCAACTCCTTCCTTGTCCCCTTCCCCAAATTTTACTTTCCAGATGAATTTTATTCTCTGCCATATATTTCAGCTAAACTCTTACCTCGAGTGTACACTTGTCTTAAAATTATGTCTCATAATTTGGTTCAACAAAATTTTGAGTGTCCCGGTGGGCAGGGTACTGTTGATGCTTCAGATACACAGACAAGATGATCTCTGCCGCACTGGGATGGTAACAACAACTAGTACACCGATAAGTAAATTTAAGGGAATTGGGAGGACTCCCTGAGGGCTGGGACAGAGTCATCAATTAGGCTTTTCTTTTGTGACTTGGATAATTAAGAAGTTAACACACTCTTGCCCTTCCTAGTACCTATTGGCGACAGGCTCACCAAGTGGCCTGGACAAGAACCTTCATGGGGGGCACAGTCAAGATGGCAGAGTGAGAGGTAGCATTTTTGGTTAGCTCACCTAGCATACGTCTTCACAATAAACTAGAAGACACAACAGATTGCATTCTGATTGGAAAGGCTAAGGAAAAGTCACAGTGAGTTATTTTTCTAGCCCAGAGCATCTTAGACCGAGAGGCCTGCAAACATTTGGGTGGGGGCTCACCAGAAGCACAGCATGGCAGCCTGGACAGGAGGAAGAGGAGTATTCTAACCCTTGGGGATAACAAGGAAGCTAAGACAGAGCGTTGGGGCAGAAGGAGGTATCAGAGGAATCCCGAACTTGTTCTGGGAGCAGGAAGAGGAGCCATCTGGCTAGTCCGCTGCCTGTTATCCAGCTCAGGATTACAAATTGGGGGCAGGTGGGAGCGGGGGGGAAGTGGTCGCTAAAGCACGGGGCCTGGCTGAGCACTGAGCAAGGAACACGTTCCCAGAACTTAGTTGTGTGGCTTTGATTCAGGAGCAGAGTGGTCGGTACTCTTAGTGGCTTACTGGTGACTTTAGCCCAGTATGTGCGCCTGCAGTAGGATAAGCAGAACAGTAGCCCAAGACCAAAGGGGAGCCGGCAGAACCTCCCAGGGGACTGACAGTGACCAAGTCCAGCAGCCACCTGTGGAAACTCTATCATATACAAGCCAGTAGACCCAAATGCAGATTAGGAACTTGCAGCGCTCAGACCAAGAAAGCGATAAAAAGTAGCAGAAGCTCTGGCAACACCTTCTTCTCTCCTCCCAGGAGTAACAGAGCCCGACAGCAAGGTAAAGTCCAAAGTCATGAGGCTGGAAGAATAAGCAAACAGACAAAACAAGAATCTGACTATAAAGCCCATGGTGGTAAGGAAGCTCAAGTCACAAACATCTACAAGCAAAGACTCAAAGTAAAATGCAGATTAGACACAAGCCCAACAAGAATTCCTAGAAGAGCTAAAGAAATAAATTTTCAAAAAGAGGAAAAAAATTTTTAAAAAACAAGAGTATAGTAGAGAAAAAATAGGAAAAGAGAGCTATGCAGTAAGGTTATGAAAAGAGAATCAATGGCTTGATAAAAGAGGTACAAAACTTTACTGAAGAAAATAACTCCTTGAAAATTAGAATTGACCAAATGGAAGCTAGTAACTTCATGAGGTGTTAATTAATAATAAAAGAAAGTCAAAAGTCTGAAAAAAAAAAGTAGAAGGTAATATGAAATATCTCATAGGAAAGATAACTAGTCTGGAAAATAAATCAAGGAGAGTTAATTTAAGAATCATTGGACTACCTGAAAAAAGCATGGACATCATATTTCAGGAAATTATAGGTGGAGCTAGGTGGTGTGGTAGATAGAGCACCGGCCCTGAAGTCAGAAGAACCTGAGTTCAAATCCTACCTCAGACAAACACTTGACGCTTACTAGCTGTGTGACCCTGGGCAAGTCACTTAACCCCAGTTGCCTTAAAAAAAAATTATGAAGAAAAACTGCCCAAATATCTTAGAACCAGAGGGCAAAGTAGAAATTGAAAGAATCTGTTGGTCATCTCCAGTAAGAAACTTCAAAATAAAAACTACCAGAAGTATTAAGGCCGAAATCTAGAGCTCCCCAGATCAAAGAGAAAATGTTGCAAGGAGCTAGAAAGAATTCAGAAGAGTGTGTAGGAAGAAGGTACTTCAGAGATCATATGAGATTTAGCAGCTGAAGGCACATAGGGCTTGGAATGTGATGTTCCAGAAGGCAAGGATCTAGGATTCCATTCAAGAGTAACTGGCCCAGCAAAACGGAGTATACTTACTTCCATTGGAGAAAAATGTGGACATTTACTGAGACAGGGGACTTTTAAGCATTCCTGATGAAAAGAGCTGGATAGAAAATTTGCCATTCATATGACTGAAGAGAAGGGTGAAAAGGTAAATGTGAGCGAGAAATCAGAAGGGGCTATACACAAGGTTCAGACCTTGCTCATCACCAGGGGTCTCAGAGAGAGACTAATTAGAAAGAGGACCTAGGTGTGATTCTGTTATATCTGCATGATCTGCAAAGAAGAATGGAAAGGTGGGGAAGGGGGGGGATGGCAAGAAAGGATGAGGAAAATTATCTCACAGAAATGGGGCGCGCAAGGAAGCAGTCAAGAAATGGAAGAGGCAGTAGGGGGTGTGAGCAACTCTCGAACCTCACTTTTAATTGAACTGGTTCAAAGAGGGAAGAGTACGTGTACAAATGTAGTCAGGTACAGATATCCTTCTTCCAACAGGGACGAAGGAAAAGGGTTAAGAGAAAGCGGGTGGTGGGGCAAGAGGGAGGGTAGATTGAGGAAGGCAAAGGTCAAAAGCAAAGCAGTCTCTTTAAAGAGGGGACAAGCTAAAAAAGAGAAGGACAATTACAAGAGAATAGGATAGAGGGAAGCACATAATTAATGATCATAACCATGAATGTGAATGGGATGAGCTCATTCATACCCCAATCTTGTTGTCATGCTGCTAACTCAGCCTTGGATACCCCAATTTCTTCCCACCTCCCTCAGCTTCCTCTCCCCTCTAATTGGAGGACTGGGTAGGGGGAGCGCTAATCTTCTCCCAAAGCTTTCCTTTATTATGAAGGGCAGAAACTGGACTTTCCAGTATGCAACACTCCCTGTCTATAGCTCTGCCTGGTTCCAACCCCACCGAGCAAGACGTCCCCATGTCAGGCGCCTCCTGGTGTCGTTCCCTGCCCCCCTTTACAGTTTCCTTTTCTGTTTGTCTTCCTTCACTAGATTCTAAGCTCCTTCCTACATGTTCAAAAACATTTATAGCAGATCTCTTTGTGGTGGCAAAGAACTGGAAATTGAAGGGATGCCCATCGATTGGGGAATGGTTGAACAAGATGTATGTAATTGGGAGGGAATATTGTTGTGCTGTAAGAAATGTTGAAGGGGATGGTTTCAGAAAAACCTGGGAAGACTTTTATGAACTGATGCACAGTAAAGTGAGCAGAACCAGGAGAACACAGTACATAGGAATAGCAGTATCGTAATAGGGATCAACTGTGAAAGACCTTCATTCTGGTCAGTGCCATGATCCCCAACAGTTCCAAAGATCTCACAATCAAAAATGCAGTCTACCTCCAGAGAGAGACCATATGAGCTCTGAGTGTACATGGAAGCAGACTTTTCACTTTCTTTATGCTTCTTGCTTTTTTTTTTTTACCGTGGCTATTGTGGATATTTGTTTTGGATGACTGTACATAAATGTAAACAGTTTTGTTTTTCTTGCCCTCTCAGTGGATGAGGAGGCAGAGTATTTGGACCTAGAAATAAAATGGAATTTTAAAAAAAAGAGCCTTCCTCATTGTAAACACAAGAGATGTTCTCCTGCCTTGGAGCCCCTGTGACCACGAGGCTTTGGACAGAGTATATGGGGCAGCTTGCTAGCAGGAAGGGGCCTGGTAGAGAGCACAGATCCAGAAGGTCAGTGAGTGCAGGGGGATATCGCAGTGCTCTGAACCCTGTAGCCGGGTCTTCTTCAGCAGCAGAAAGGAGTCAGGCAGGGAGGTTCTGGGAACCAGAGTAAGAGGAAATGAGCCAGCACTGGCCGGCAGAGAGCCTGGCTTGGGAGGAGGGAGCTTTACACGTAGCTGAGAGGGACAGCCAGGAGCAAAGAGGTCCTCAGCAGTGGCCCAACAGGGTGATGGCCATGATCTCAGGACAGAGATGAGCTTCTGTCTGTGCTGATTGCGTACCCTTTGCTAGCTGGAAGCTTTCTGGAGTCCTGGAGAGTCAAGGCTGACTGTGGCAGGTGAGGGGGTGGAGGAGCAGTCAGTGACAGAGATTTCCCTGTCTGAAGAATGTGTCTCCTTTGGGGGCCAGGTCAAGTTCTGCGCCAGGCCCCCCAGGGAAGGGATGGGGGAGTAACCAAATGAGTGCTTCTTTGTAAAGAGGATGAGGGAGCAGTGGCAGGCTTACCTGTGCCCTCTGGTTCCTCCACTGCTTCCCCCTGTCAGGAAAACAAGGCTCTGTCAACCCTGCCTTTCTCTGTACCCTGAAAAGTACGTCTGGAGGCTGAGGATGTAAGCCTAGCTCCCTCACCAGGAAGACTGGGAATTGCCCAGAATCGCGTCTAGTATGACCGTGTCTTTTGAGAAGAGGAGATAATGTTGAGGCATCTTTGAGCCTGACCAGAGGAAAAAGAGTATGTTCATTGAGTGGCATGATTTGCTTCTCTCTTCTGAAATCTGCAGGGTGGAGGGCCTGATGGACTCATTCTCTCAGGGACTTGAAAGGTCTTACACTGTCAATAGCAGCATATTGCACGGCATTGAACCATGGTTGAAGGACTTTCATCAGCTTCTTCTCAACCCTCCAAAGGTAAGTTCCCTTCAGCAACTTGGGACTGGCTACCCATCCTCCTAAATTGTGTGCATGCCCCTGTCGGGGGGTCCCGGGTGCACCACTCCAGGGGGGTGGGGAGGACGAGAAGAGTGCAGGAGACTAACATCAGTGATTCTTCTGTGGCTGAGAAGTACCCAAGGGAGTGGACACTGGGCGTGAAGGGGGCCTCCAACTGATTCTTCTCAGGCCTCCCTGGGCAGATTCCCCTCAGAAGTGTAGGAATTCAGAAAAGGCAAAGAAGGGCTTTGCTTCCGGAGTCCCAGAGTGAGAGGCTGGAGAGCCTTCTGTTAGAGATGATTGGTGCTGAATTTCATTCCAGAGTCACTGAAAGGAAGTGTCCCAGAGGAGGAGTCCCTTTTGGGACTGAAATGGAGAGGTTTATGTTTTAATTAAAGAAGAGAGACTCAGAAATTAATGCATTTGAACAAGATAGTAGTTTTCATTCATTTAATGTTTTGCTGTTTGCTAAATGTGATAGCTTGGGTCCTGGGGAATAACCAGCTCTTCTGAAAAGGGCCCAGCCTTTACAGCCGCCTGACCGCTCTGGGATGGGACTACATCCTGGCCAGAGCTAAGAGCTCTGGAGTCAGGACAGCGTGAGTTCAGATGTGGCCTCGGACACTTGTCACTCAACCCCGTCTGCCTCACTTCCTCAACAGTAAAATTGGGATGGTGATCACACCGGCAGCCCAGAGTTGTTTTGAGGACGAAAGGAGATGATGATTGTAAAATGCTTAGCGTAGGGCCCGGGACAAAGGAGGCGCTTAACAAACGTGTGTTCCCCTCCCCTCTGCTGGCAGCCCAGAAGTGTAAGTCATACCCCTCCAGATGCTGGTGTGAGCGTTACCTGCCCGGCCTGGCCTCCGTTCTTCTTTGGTGGGTGGGTGCTGAGGAGGAGGCAAAGGTAAAGAAGAGTCCTCGACTCAAGAAGTGTAGCAGCGCAGCCGTGCACACAGCAAGCTGTATTTCCCATTCCCCAGAAAATGTCCATCCTGACCACCATTGGTGTCCTGGAGGAGCCCCTGGGAAACGCTCGACTCCACGGGGCGCGGCTGATTGCTGCCTTGCTGCACACCAACACACCCAGTATTAACCAAGAGTTATGTCGGCTCAATACCATGGACTTGCTACTTGTAAGTAGAATCCTAGTGCTCTGGGGTCTCGGAAGCCCAGCTGTGCAGCCTTCCTGCTAGGTGAACGTTGGCCCCAGAGATCCCAAGGCTGTCCCCTTGTTGGACAGCCCTCACTTCGAGGGATCAGAGTGAAAACCAGCTTCTCCAACTTGCCCCTGTTGTTGCTGGTTCTTTGTTCGGGGGTGGGGGGTGGGGGGGACGCTCCTGCTGCGTGAGGATCGTTTTCATGTTCTCAGCACAGTTTTCCGACCTCAGCATCAACGAGAGCCTTCAGCCACTCCTCCTGTGGCCTGGTGTTTAGTCCCTTCACCGTTCTGGTCGCCCTTCTCTGGGCATAGTTCAGGCTCTTGTTGTTTCTCCTCAAATTGAACACGGTTCTCCAGGTGGGGACTGATCGGGGCAGAGAAGTCAAGTCAGCGTTAATTAAGTGCCTGCTGTGGGCAAAGCCCTGTGCTGGGTATTGGAGGTTACAAGAAAAAAGTCCTCGCCCTCAAGGACCTTACGTCCTCCTCCCTCTTTTAGGTGGCAGCTTCTGTTAATACAACTGAAGATACTCCTAGCATTCTTGGCCTCTGAGTCACACTGTTAAAATACCCGAGCCTTTTCTCTTTTTGGATTTCTTTTTTTAAATTATCAAGCATTTGGTTTTTTCTCCCTCCCACCTTCTCGTCCCCTGCCCCCAGAAAAAAAGAAAAACAAAATACTTGTAACAAATATACACGGTCCAACCAAACCGATTCCTGTAGTGGCCACACCCAGAACTGTGTGTCTCATTCTATGCCCGAGTCCATCTCCTCTCGGTCAGAAGGTGTTCATCAGCGGTCCTCTGAAGTCGTGGTTGGTCATTGTGTTGATCAGAGCTCTTAAATCTTTATTCATTTCCACTGAGGTACTTGTCATATAAACATTTAGCTCTTCCTTCCTGTCGTAATGAATTTCATTTTTTAACTTGTCTGGTGTTATGCATTTATTAAGTTTCATCTTCTTTGGTTTGACCCATCCTTGTAGACAAGGCTACATAACCTTCTTTGTAACATAGACTCTGTGGGTAGCCTGGTAAAACCTGAGGACCCTTTCTAAGAATAAGGTTTTTAAATGCGTGAAGTAAGATTCAGAGAATTGAAAGTGAAAGCAATTATATTGAAATGCAGTTTTCAAAATATATATTTTTACAAGGTTCATGGGCCTCAGATTAAGGAATCTTGTTCTAGGATCTTTTTGGATCTCAATCCTCTCATTAGTGGGGTAGGGTCTCCCAAACTTCATGTCATCTGGAGACGCCATCTAAGCCTTAATTGATTTTTTAATGACCTGGCCCCAGATGGAGCCTTGGAGCAGTTCTGTAGAGGCCAAGGAGCATGTGGAGAGGTTGACTTAGGCAAGACGAAGGGCTGCCTCTTCATCAAAGGTGGGTAAAAGAAGAGATAGTGGGGGAAGAGAACTGAATGATGGGAGATGAGGAGGGTAGAAGAGGGAGCTTTAGGCAGATGGCGTCAGTTGGGGGGGTGAAGTAGGAGGCCAAATGCTCGGCTCAGATGACGAGGATAGGTGCTGTGGGAGGCTTTGGAAGAAAGGCTGTGGAGAAAGGACAGCCACTTAACGAGGGAGGAATAGAATGTTGGCCTTTCTGTAGGGAGGATCTGCTTGAGATTTGTAGTTAGCCCAATGCCATGGTTTCAGAATTTCCTCCGGCTCCATTTAGCAGCGTGTGAATAGGAGCAAAGAAGACCGAGGGGAGTGATTGAGGATTGGGTGTTGTCAAGGTCTGTTTGACTCTGGGACAAGAGGACAAGATTCAAGAGTGAAGGAAAGCGTAGAGTTCAGTTGGCTTACTAAGGGCTCACAATAGGGAAGGGAAGGGAGGAAAGTGTAGTTAGTGGAAGGGTAATAGAAAAGAACAGAGGCATGGCGGAAATGGGAGGTCACAATGAGGATGGAGAACAGGGTTAGGAATCAGAAGGCACAGGACAAGATGCAATGATAAAAGATCATGATCAGAAATGGAAATGTCAGGTTTGTGAACGTGGAAGTAGAATGTTAGTGGGTGATGGCAGTGTCAGAGATGTGACATCTTTAGGCGTACCTGAAGTCCATTCGTATGAGAACAGGGAGGAGAGAAAGACAGGCAGGCAGGCACTGCACTCCTTGAGGAAGGAAGGAGGATGTGGGCATTGATGGGTAAGAGGCACCGGGACACGAGTGTGAATCTCAAAGGAGAAGGGGCTGCCAAATAATGGTAGGAGAGAGTCTGAAAGTGGCAGTGGGGCCAAGGAGGATTCTGACTTCCCCTCTAGGATTCAGGGCTTGGGGGAGTGTGAAAGAAAGTGAAGCCAGAAGATGGAAGGAGTAAGAAAAGAAGAGCCTTATGATGGCAGGCAGTTCGGCACGATCATTGGGGTATTTGTTTATTTGGGTTTTTTTTAACAATTTTTTATTTTTTTCACAATGACATGTAAAAACAATTTTTAACACTTGTTTTTTAAAATTTTGAGTTCTAAATTTTTCTCTGCCTCTCCCTTCCTTCTCCCCTAGACAGTAAGCAATAGGTTATACATGTATAATCATGCAGAACATTTCCATACTAGTCATGTTGTGAAAGGAAACACAGACTCCCCCCACAAAACACACACACACACACACACACACACACAGGTAAAGAAAGTAAAAAATAGTGTGCTTCGATCTGCAATCAGACTCGATCAGTTCTTTCTCTGGAGGTGGATAGCATTTTCATCAGGAGTCCTTTGGAACTGTCTTAGATCCTTGCATTGCTGAGAAGAGCTAAGTCATTCACAATTGATCCTTGCACAGTATTGCTGTGTTACTATGTATGATGTTCTCCTGGTTCTGCTCACTTCACCTTGCATCACTTCATGTAAGTCTTTCTAGGTTTTTCTGAAAGCATCCTGCTCATCCATTCTTATAGCGTAATAGTGTTTCGTCACAGTCATATACCACAGCTTGTTCAGACGTTCCCCAGTTGATGGACAAACTCTCAATTTCTAATTCTTTCCTACCACAAGAAGAACTGCTACAAATATTTTTGTCCAAATGGGTCCTTTTCCTTTTTTTAAAATCTGTTTGGGATATAAACCTGCTAGTGGAATTGCTAGAGCAAAGGGTACACACAGTTTTATAGCCCTTTGGGCATAATTCCAAACTGCTCTGCAGAGTGGCTGGATCATTTCACAACTCCACTAACAATGCATTAGTGTTTCAGTTTTCCCATATCTTCTCCATTTATCATTTTCCTTTTCTGTCAAATTAGCCAATCTGTTAGGTGTGAGGTAGTACCTCAGAATTGTTTTGATCTGCATTTCTCTAATCAATAGTGATTTAGAACATTTTTTTCACATGACTATAGATAGCTTTGATTTCTTCACCTGAAAACTGCCTGTTCATATGCTTTGACCACTTATCAATTGGGGAATGACTTGTATTCTTATGAATTTGACTCAGGTCTGTATATATTTGAGAAACGAGGACTTTGTCAGAGATACACTATCAGTGTTCAGAAAGCTGTTTGCCTCTGCATTGAATGAATCCAAATTTGGGCTTTGCAGTTTTGTAGCTATAGTATGTTGGGGGTTTGTGTGTGTGTGTGTGTGTGTGTGTGTGTGTGTGTGTGTGTGAGGCAGTTGGGGTTAAGTGACTTGCCCAGGGTCACACAGCTAGTAAGTGTCAAGTGTCTGAGGCTGGATTTGAACTCAGGTCCTCTTGACTCCAGGGCCGGAACCCTATCCACTGCGCCTCCTAGCTGTCCCCAGCTGTAGTTTTTTAAAAAAAATATATTACAGGGGCAGCTAGGTGGTACAGTGGATAGGGCTCCGGCCCTGGAGTCAAGAGGACCTGAGTTCAAATCCAGCCTCAGACACTTGACACTTACTAGCTGTGTGACCCTGGGCAAGTCACTTAACCCCATTGCCTAGCAACAACAAAAATTATGTTTTTTCCCTGAGTTACATGTAAAGACACTTTTTTAACATTCACTTTTAAAAAATTTTGAGTTACAAATTTTCTCTCTCCCTTCCATCACTCCTTCCTGTTTCTCAGTGTCTGCCCTTTTCTCTGCCTGGCCCTTTCCGGTTTTCTACCTATATTCTATTTTTTTTTAATTAAAATTTTTTCAGTTATTAAGCTATCATTTTTTCTTCATCCTACCTATTCCTTTAACTATTTAACTACCTATTCAGCTCCCTACTGGGGGTTAAAAAAAAAAAGGAAACTAAAACCGTCATGACAAATAGGCATAAATTCCTAGATTGGCCATTTCTACAAGCGTACATTTCATTCTGCACGTTAGTCTGTCACGTCTCTGTCAGGAAGTCACCTTCTTCATCACTGATCTTCTGGAATCATGAATTACAATTGCATTGATCAGAAGTCTTAAGTCTTTCTTTAAAAAAAAATCAAACTAAAACTAAATGTTATTTTTTTTTTTCAATCCATATAAATACACCTTCTTTCCCTCTTGCCTCACCTCCACGCCCACTGCTCCAAATTGAGGATGAAAGAAAACAAAAGCCCTCCTACAAAATGTAAAGTCAAGGCAGATTTCCATATTGGTCACGTCTAAAAGAAAACTCTGTGTGTGTGTGTGTGTGTGTGTGTGTGTGTGTGTATGTGTATGTGTGCATGTTCGATTCTCTACTCCAGGTCTCACCTCTCTATCAGGAGGTGGGTAGCATGTTTCATCATTAATTCTTTGGAATTCTTAGTGTTCTTTGCACTGAATAGAGTTCCTAATTCTTTCAGAGTTTTTTGTCATGTGCAAATTATTCTCCTGGTCCTGTTCACTTCACTCTGAATCAGTTCATACAAGTCTTCCCAGATTTTCTGAAACCAGCCCTTTCCTCATCTCCTGCATCACATTTCTGCATCAGAACATGTTCAGCCATTCTCCAGTCTGTGGACACGCCTCCGATGCCCATTCTTTGCCACCTCAAAAAGAGCTAGAGGTGCTTCTGCCCATCCCTAGTGTCGTCTGTCCACCTTAGAGTGTAAGCAGTTTGTCCCTGACTTGTTCCTTATGTTTGTTTGCTTGTGTTTCTTGCCTCCCATGTTGAACTTGAGAGTTTCTCTGCAGCTCGTCTTTTCATCAGGAATGCTTGGAAGGGAAGGTCCGTTGTTCGCCTGTCGCATTAGACTCAGTTTGCTGAGTAAGTTCTTGGTTATAAGCCTGCCTCCTTTGCCTTCTGGAGTAGACTATTCCAAGCTCTGCATCGGAGGTCAGTTGGCTAAACTGTGTGATGTTGACTGTGACTCATTGGTCGTTCTCTCTCTTTTTCTGTCGATAATCTGGGCTGGAAAAAATGACTCACTGTGTATTTTTCTTGAATTTCCCCATCAAGACTTGATCTCGTGCATTCTCTAGATTTCTTTGGAGGACATGGTGGGTGGAGAGGGTCCTGCTGTATTCCTGCTACTTGGCCATCTTGCCTCCACCCTCCTTGAGTCTTTGAAAATTGTTCATCTTTACAGTGATAATATTAGTATAAATTATTCTCCTGGTTCTGATGACTGTACTCTGCATCAGTCCCTAAAAGCCTTCCGGATTTCTCTGAAACCATCTCTGTATGTCTTATGGCCCAGTACCATTCCATTCCATTCATGTGCCATGGTTGGTTCAGCCATTGCCCAGGTGATGGGCACTCCACAGGTTCCTCTTCTTTGCTGCTGCGAGAAGAGCTGCTGTCAGTCTGCCTGCACTCTTGTAGGGCTTGGCAGTAACAATAGCTGCAGTCATTAAGATTACGTGCCAAGAGTCAGCCTGTCAGGAGGCCACGGGGGGCGCTCCCTGTGACTGAAGGGCTCTGGTTTGGTGGCCTGCCTCGGGCTGCTCACAGGCCTTCCTGACTCCCAGGGTCTCAGCTCTGGTCTGGTTAGCAGTGTCACTGTCAGTGACCCAGTCCACTTGGGGAGACGGGGTGAAGGAGCTAGTTAGAGAACAAGATGAGACCATAATTAAGTGCTTGGACATGTGCTGAAAGGCAGTGCGTTCTCTAGGAGGGCAGGAGGATAAAGCGATGGTGGGCTGAGGTCATCGTACGTAGGGAGGCGAGGCCACAGGCCAGACTACCCATGTGGGGTCTGCTTTGGGCCTTCTGTACCTGAGTCGGGCCCACCTGAGGGTGTAGAAAACATTTCAGGGAATAAGTCCTGTGGAAACAGATTCACTGAAGCAAGCTTGGAGGTGTGATTATCCAGCCAAGAGCAGAGTCAGCAAGCACTTTGTAAGTGCCTACTGTATGCCAGGCACTGGGGTACACCAAAGGGGCAGGAGACAGTCCCTGTCCTTGAGGAGCCCCTCGCCTGATGGGGGGGAGACAGTATGCAGACAACCACGTGCAAACAAGATGTAGCCAGGGTCAGGCAGAGCTGATCTCGGAGAGGAGACACCAAGATTGAGGAGCGCCGGGAAAGGGGGACCCTGGCTGAGACTCGGAGGAAGCTCAGAGTGAGCGTGAGGAACAGGCAGTGAGGACTCCCAGAGTCGAGTGTCACATGTGAGGGACAGCCAGGAGTCAGCGTCACTGGATTGCAGAGGATGCGCAGATGGGGGCTGAGGCAGAGGAAGGCTGTACAGTCAGAGAGAGAGGTGTATTTGTCAATCCCAAAGTTAACAGGGAGCCATAGACGTTTATTGAAGAGGGAGGGTGACGTGGTGAGATCTGTGCTTAAGGAGCACGGCTGAGTGGGGAGAGACCAAGGCAGGCCGCTAGAGTAGTCTGGGCCTGGGGTGACGAGGGCCTGCATCCAAGGGTGGACGGCCTCAGAACAGAGAAAAGCGAGGACTCGAGAGGTGCTGTGAAGGTCAGAATGGCCAGACTTGGTGACTGTGGAGCGAGAGCTCGAGGGGCTGAGGCAGACACCTCGATTTCCGGCCTGAGTGGCCGGAAGGTGGCTGAGTAACAGGGCAGTCAGTGGAAGGGGATGTTTGGGAGGAAAGTTCCTGGGTTCTGTTTGGACGGATTGAGTTAGAGATACCTGTGGGACATCCAGTTTAAGTGAGGCAGGTAGAGATGCAAGACTGACAGGAGAGCTGGACAGATGAGTCTGAGGCTTGTCTGTGTAAGAGATGGTGATGGAATCCGTGGGAGCTGAGGAGGTCACCAGGTCATCCAGGATAGAGGGCCAGGAGGCAGAGCCTTGGGGCACACTCACAGCTGGGGGAAAAGACTTGGATAAAGACCCAGGAAAGCAGACTGAGAGAGGGGATGAGTTAGACAGGAAGAAGGAGAGCAGGGCAGAGGAAAGTATCCAAGAGAAGAGGGTGATCAGCAGTTCAGGAAGATGGACGCCAAGGAGAATGAAGAGCGAGACAAGGCCGTTGGAGGCAGCCGCGCCACATCCGAGTCAGGGAGCTGCCCCCCCTGTTGAAGGCCTGTACAGGTTGAGGGCGATTAGCGGAGCTCCCCTTGAGCCCTGGGCTCTGTGGCACACGCACAAGGCCCGGCAGGCCCCGGAGAGGTCTGAGTGGCTGCTCTGTGTCTCCTTTTGCTCCAGGACTTGTTTTTTAAGTTCACCTGGAATAACTTTCTGCATTTCCAAGTGGAGCTGTGCGTAGCGGCCATTCTATCCCACTCTGCCCGGGAAGGAGGGATGTCCAGCAGTGAGTCTGACTGCCGAGAGGACATGCACAGTGGGAGTGGAAGCTTGGAAAAAACTGAGTCTGCAGAGTCCACCTCTGAGAACGTGATGGTGACACATGTAAGTCCAGTGGGGCGGTGTCCGGGGGGAGGCCTTCTTAGGATGGGAGGGACAGCCACATCAGAGGCAGTGGACGAGGCGACGGCCCTCCAGCATCTCCAGGGGCTCCGTGGGGGCTGCGGAAAAGCCCCTGGGAAGTGGAGCCCCTTCTTAGCTCCCCAGCTCCTCTAGCAAAGACACTCTGGGGACGTACATGGAATGGGGCCAGTGTGCCCTGCTGGGAGGGACAAAAGAAGAGTCAGGTCTGCCTTCTGCTCCTCATGGGGCTGGCACAGAGTGGGGACAGAGGCCGTCCCGTGCCGGCATGACCTGGTGACCCCCTTGTCAGGAGCTCTGGCTTTGCGTCAGAGTGGAAACCCTGGGGGACTTGCTGTCCTGGAGGGATTGTGGGCGTGAAGGTCAGGGAGGCTTCCCTAAGGCCACGTCTGCACCTCTTCTGAGAAGGAACTAGAAGCAGATCCTCAGAGGTGTCAGATGAACAGCGGGAATGGGCCTTGGAGATTGCCGTTGCTGACCTATGACTTGGTCTTCTGTCTCCTCCTGCAGCTGTTCCAGAAGTGCTGCTTGGTACAGAGGATCTTGGATGCCTGGGAAGCCAATGACAGAATCCAGTAAGGGCCGCCAGGGAGCCTGGCCTAGGCGATGGGGTGGCAATGACGGGGATCATGTGTGAATTTGAGAGGCCGCGCTCCGAGCGTCACTCTCGTGCTCACCTGGTCTCGTGTGCACCGAGCTGGGGAGGACGCAGGGAAGCTTAGCTTGTTCCCTAGGCAAGGGTGACCCTTGTGTCCGTGAAACAGAAGCATCCTCACCCTAAGGCAGGCCGGAGACACAGGAAACTGGGGTCCTGCCCTCTAGGGACTTAGAGTCTGATTGGGGTACGGGGCACAGATTGGTTTTATTGTCTTTTTTAACAAGGGAGCAGACCCAGTGTCGAGGGAGGGCTCCATTTTAAAGGTAGGAGGAAGTAATCGTGAAGGGCTGGAGGGGACTAGAAGCAGAGAGGCTTGTCGTGAGCCCAGGCATCTGTGGGGGACAGTGAGCCTGGGGGGCTGGAGGAGTCACGAGATGTGACTGGAAATGTGACTCGGAGCCAGGTTGTGGAAGGCACCGGATGCCCTGTTAGGGAGGGCAGGGAGGCAGGAATGATGGAGATGGAGGCCCAGGCAGCTCAGAGCCCAGTGAGAGCTCTGGGGCAGGCTAGCTGTGACCCAAGGAGGGTCTGGACAGAGGGCGTGATGGCAGGAATGGGGAGGAAGCACCAGGTGTCAGGTGTGGAAAGGCAGGAGCCAGGAGTGGTCGGGAATAAGTCTGCCGGAAGAATAGTAGGAATGGAGAAGCTGGGGCCAGGAGAAGGGTGTGCTTGGGGAGGAGGAGGAGGAGCCGGCCTTGGGGTGCCCGAATTGGAGCTCTGCAAGGCTGTGTAGCTTTTCCTCGGGGCAGCGGGCGTGCCCAGGCCGTCCCCGGCTGTGGATGAGCAGCAGCCGTCGAGCGTATGTGGGGTTCCTTCCCTTTCCCTTTCCCTTGTCCCGGTCTTGACCCAGGCAGTCATAAATGGGGTTTACTTGGGGGCAGAGAGTGCTTTTGGATCACTCGTCATAACCCGACAGTAGTGATGGCCAGCATTTCTGTAACATTTTCATGTTTACAAAGACTTACATGTTATCTCGTTGGAGCCTCACAACAGCCCTGAGAAGTAGGTGATTCCCATTTTATAGGTAAGGAAACTGAGGCAGACAGAGGTTAAGTGACTTGCTCAGGGTCACACAGCTAGTAAGTGTCTGAGGCCCAATTAGGAGGACTCAGATATTCCTGAAACCAGGCCCAGGGCTCTATCCACTGCACCACCCAGCTGCCTGCTTCATTTTTTAATATAGTTGCTCATAAGAAATAAAATCTTGATGAAGGAAGACAAATGTTATCAGGCCCCATATCTGCAGGGCACTGTGATACATGTTCCTTTGTGCCTTCAGGTGCTAATTTCTGAAGTTCTCTAACCTGAAATCTGAAGAGTCGTCCCTGTTCTGGTGATGATTTTAGAACATCCCTTTGACCCACTTCCATTCCACAAGCATTTATTGAGTGCCTGTGTGTGGTAGGCCTTAGGGGCTCTACAGACACGCACAGGCCTTGCCCTCACGGAGCTCACTCTAGTAGAAGATGTCAGGCTGTGTACCACATCTCTCCAGTATGTTCAGCGAAGGGCCCGCTTGGCCTGCAGAGACAGGATGGTGACACTCACTTGGCGTGCTTCCGCTCAGTTCAGCAGATATTGGGAAAACATTGTTGTATGCACAGCCCCGGCTGAGGTGTTGAGGTTATGGAGACACACACTAGCATCTCTGTCCTCGTCCCCCAAAAGCCACACCCAGATCAGTCAGTAGACGCCCCTTGGAGAAGGGGTGAGGATTAGGGAAGGCTGGGCCTGCAGGCAGAGGAGGGCTCTGAGAGGCCATTCCAGGAATGGGAAACTCGTGCTGCTGGCTCTGTGGGGGCTGAGGCCAGACCAGGGGAGGACCCTGAAGTGAAGTGGCTGTTTTAGTCAGGAGCGAAGTATATTGTTTATTGTTGCAGAACTCTGAAGGCCAATGAAAAGCATGATTGGAGCAGTTCTCTAGAAAGATGACTCTGATCCCCTCTGTAGGACGGAGCAAATGGTACCATGGCCCCTCTGAAAGCGGGGGTGAGAACCCCAAGGAGTTGGGTAGCAAGTGGAGCAGAAAGGAAGGGGGCTGCCGGGGAGCCGCCGGCTTGTTCCCCATCCCTGCTGGGCTCTGTTACCTTGCCTGAAGGCCTCTGCTCTCGGACACAGGGGTGCAGCCAGGAGCCTGCGGTGCCCAGGAGAGGGGTTGCCCCTTGGTCTTCTTTCCAGCGAGCTAAAGCAGGCCACCGGCTTTGCCGCTCAAAGGTGGCTACAAAAATAACAACTCTTATTTACGTTACTTTGTCAGAGGTGGGTGTGCTGACCCATGGCTCTGGCGATGCCTTTGTTTGTAGGGCCGAAGGCGGGATGAGGCGGGGAAACATGGGCCACCTCACCCGAATAGCCAACGCTGTTGTCCAGAACATGGAGAAGGGCCCCATTCAGTCTCAGATCAGCTCCTTCATCAAAGGTACGGGTCTCCTGCTTTCTGCTGTCCTCTCTTAGCCCTGCTAGCTCCTGAAACATTGGCTGCAGATAGCTAATTCCAGGTCTCACCGTAACAAAGTCCCTTTTGGATCTCATGCCCCGTTAGCGTGTTACAGAGACACCTGTCTCAGCTGCTTTTTTCTGTCCCTGTTCTGTCCAGCTTTGCCCTTTCCCAGGTCTCTTCTCAAAGACCATTCCTGAAGTTTGGAATGTTACTTAGAATCATAGACTCTCAGAGCCATCCAGTCAGATGTGGTCCTGAACAGGATTCCCTCTTACAACTTCCCTGAGTCCAGCTGACAGAACTCTGGTGATGGGGAGCTCCTTTACTCTTAAGGAAGTGCAGTCCCAAGCAACACATTAAGCCAGAGATCCAGCACCATCAGCCTAGGTCATTGTGAGGGATTGTGAGGGACAGTAAGGGGCAGTGATGGCCAGCTAGCCAGCAGCCACTTCTGAAGCTCCTGCGCCGGGCCAGGCACGGGACAAGGTGATGCAGAGACAGAGACAAAAAGGGAGCTTTTTCTGTCCCGATGAGCTTCCGTTCCACTGGGGGAGCCAGCATGTATGTAACCAGGGGAGACAGAAAGCCAAGTTGAAGGAATGGTTTTGAGGGGCAGCCTTAGTGGCTGGGGAAAAGAAGGGGCAGGGCGGATGGCTTCTCTGACATCACCAGGCCTGGTCCATACTCGGCTTTTCCGGCTTGGTCAGACCTGACAGGGCTTGTCCTCTGCTGGCAGGGCCTTTGAAAGCCCAGGTATTACTTCTCTGCTGGGATAAAAACGAGAGAAAAATTTAGTAAAGAATAAATATCCCTAAAAAACCAACCCAAGTTTTTAAGCAAGTCTGGGTAGGGGGAGAGGGGAATGTTGACCAAGATCGGAGGGGGGGCAGGAAGTTCTGGTGTGAGGAGTCAGGCCCAGCAGTGAAAAGCAGCAGCACCTGCAGCAGGGCCGGGGAGCCACGGCCCCCAGGCAATGGGCCTCCCTCGGCGTGGGGAGCAGGGTTCTACCTGTGTTCCAGCAAAGCGGGGAGGGAAGGTTTTGGCTCCTCACCTGTGTTTCCGCTTCTGCCTGAGAAGTGGCAAGGTGCCTGCCTTTAGCCGAGGTTCTGGGGCCCTTTGTCTCCCTGGGATCAGCTGTAGGAGGCCTGCAAGAGAGACCAGGCCAAGTGCTTCAGATGGCTCCATTGATACGTCAGGGATTTTGCCGATGTACGCGGTGTACACAGGCTTTAGCGGACGGTCCCGGAGCCTTTCTGACTGAGCTGAGCTGCTGGAGCTTGTGCTTCAAGAGAAGGTCCTTGGAGGGAGGGTCTTGGGGATCAGAGAAGATTCAAGGCCCCATGGCCTTCCCTGCTTCAGTTAGAGCAGAGGGTGAGTGGAGCTGAAGATCAGAGTTCCTTTGGGCCCCTGGCAGGGCCCCTGGCAAGGCCCGTGGTCACCCAGAGTCTGTCCTGTTTGCAGACGGCCACAGAGGGTGGAGGAGGACGGAACTGAGTTGCTCCTTCCACCCTGTCCCCACTGTGTTATCCAGGTGCACTGATGGACGGTCTAAAACATGGGGCCAAAGCTAGGAAAATGAAATTCATTCAAGGCAGATAGAAAGTCCTCCAGCTAGGACCTCTCCCCCCCAACCCAAAAAGTCATTTTGTGAGTACAAAGTGTAGGAGGCATAGGTAGGCGGGTCTTTGTCTTTTTAAAAACAAAAAGAGCCAGCAGTGAGATGTGGCACCAGAAAAAACTCCTGTGGCCGTGGCCGCCCTGAGAGGGCCGAGCTTCCCGGATCTGGGAGGTGGAGGCCTGCTGCCATCGGCAGGGCCGGGCTCACTGTGGGTGGGCCAGGGAGTGTTCAGAGGGCCCTGGGGGTAATGACAGTGATGACAACAGCCACCAGACACATGGTAGAGTTCGCACAGGGGTTATCTCCTATCTCTGGGTTCCCAGGGTAGTGAAAAGCAGGAAGACCGTGTCACGTGCACACTTTCAGCCTGCAGAAGCAGCCTGGGGTGGGCTGAGGGGATGTGTACTGTGGACGAAGGGTTGGCCTCGGTCTTCTTGGTGTCAGAAGAGGCTACAAAGAAGCCAGCTGAGGCTGATGACGGAAGAAAGTGCTGTGGCAGAGGAGCTGGCCAAAAGTGGGCTGGCTGCCTTGGGAGGCAGGGCCCTCCTCCTGCTAGAGGCTACATGACCTCTCAGGGGGCTGATTCACCTCGGGGCTGTGGCTATTGTGAGGGTGGGATTGGCCTCAGTGACTCTGATGCCCCCTGCCAGCTCTGAGATTCTCTGATGCTGTGGAGAGAGGGTGCCCACCTTGCCAGATTCTCCAGGACTAGAGCGGACTGGCACACTTAGCCAGATTCTGGCTGCTCAGGGCGGCCTAGCTGTTTCCTAGGCCCTGCCCTGTCCATGGGGTGGGCTGGCATTGGGAAGGAAGAAGGCCAGGCCACCTTCTTGAGCAGCTGTCCCTTATGCGGTGTCCACAGATTGTGGTCTGGGACTCTCATAGTGTTCAGGGATGCCCCCCAGCCCATGAGAGCTTGGGCAAGCATGCCCAGAGTTCACTCAGCTCGTCCAGTGAAATGGGGCAGTACCATGTCTGCCGTCCTGGGGAAGAAAATGGCAGTGCCCCAGACACCACAGGAGTGAGCCATCTTGTGGGGGCCCTGGAGTGTGATCCAGCCTCCATTGATCTCCCAGAGAGGGTAGGCAAAGGCTTTGTATGCCTGGGAGTGCTGATAAATGAGGATGACCATTGGAATGGAGGTCTCCGTGCAATGGGAAAAGCCATGGATTTAGAGACAGGGGGCCTGAGTGCAACACCTCTGGGCCCAGGCCACGGCGCTCTCCAACAAGGAGGCCAGGCTCGGCGAGCTCAAAGGTCCCTTCTAGCAGACGTCGAGGCCCCCTCATTCAAGGGGATGCAGTGGAAGAAGGCCTGGATTTTGAGTCAGAGTCCCGGGTGCAAATCCTGGCTCTGCCACTTCATCCCCATCGGATTGTCACCTCTTTTTTATTTCCACCAATCTTAAAATGACGGGTTTGGCCTCCCCGACCTCTGTGGTCCCAGCCAGCCCTGGATCCATGGTCCAGCACTTCAGGGTGTCTGATCTCACCTTCAGCTCCAGTAGCTGTTCTGACCAGAGAGAGCTGTTTCCCCTACAGAGCTTCCTGAGGATTGTCGAGGGCGATGGGAGAGCTTTGTGGAGGAGACGCTGCCGGAGACCAACCGGAGGAACACTGTCGACCTGGTGAGGGGCGGCACCACGGTGCCTTCTGTGTTTTTGTGTCTTGCTGCAAGGCAAGGTGTGGGTAGACAGAGGCTCACGGGAGCAGGAAGCGGGAGGGTCAGCGTTTCACTTTGTTTCCTGGTCACCAGTGGTCACTGGTTTACCTCTTCACTCATTTCCTTCAGTGGTGGCTGAGGGGGAGGTGGCACGCCCGTGGGTTGTGCAGGTGAGGCCGAGGTCAGGGACGCCTCTCCAGGAGGCCATTAGGGATTGAGCGGCTCGCCCAGGTGGGCGTGTTGGACACCAGGCAGCTGAGGCCTCGAGGGACTCGGGGTACACTCCTGCAAGCTCCGGCCCCCGGGGTCCTGCGTCCAGGCCCCAGCGGTGTGCCCCCTTCTGGCTCTGGGGGCCGGGGGCAGGGTGAGGGGGTGACGCTGAGTCCTGCCTTCCCCCTGAGCCCCCCCTGGGGCTGCCTGTGTTTCAGGTGAGTACTCATCACCTCCACTCCTCCAGTGAAGATGAGGACATGGAGAGCGCTTTTCCTAACGAGCTGTCCCTGCAGCAGGTGAGTGCCACGGCCGGTCCTGGAACTCCGGGGCCTCTGGAGCTCTGGAGCTAGAGGGTCTGGGCTGGGGTTGAGGAGCTCAGTGGCCTTGGGCAAGTCACATGACTTCCCTGGGCCTCCATTTCCTCAGCTCTAACCTGAAGGGCTTGGAGTTGCCTCTGCTCCCTGACCCTACAGAGAGGGTCATCGAACACACTGAGGGCACGCAGGCTGGGAAAGGGTCTCCAAGAGGGGAGCATGGCCCTTCCAACCGCTGGAGGAAGTGGGGAATGGGTGGAGAACTCGGAGGGCTTTAAACAAGACACGCTTTTGTGGATCCCCTGCACAGTGCCCGCCGTCTCCGTTTTGGCTGTCTCCCCTAGGCCTTCTCTGAATACCAGATCCAGCAGATGACAGCCAACTTCGTGGACCAGTTTGGCTTCAACGATGAAGAATTTGCAGACCAGGATGATAATATCAAGTGAGTTCGCCAGACTAGCTAGTGAGGAAGAGCCTGTGTCTGGTGTCTGGTTAGTCCTGGAGACTGGCCCGGTCCTTTTGGCCTCAAGTTCAGTTTATTTTCGTTCTCGGCCTCCCCACTCCCCGACCATTGTGCTCAGTCCATCGGCTGTGTGTCTGGAGGTGCGGGGGACGGGCTTCGTCAGGAGGCCTCAGGCCGTGGCTGGTCGTTCGCTGATCAGAGCTCCCACGTCTTTCAGGGATGTTTGTCTTTACGTTGTTTGTGGTTGTTCAGCTGTTTTTCAGTTGTGTCCAACTTGGGGTTTTCTTGGCAAAGATACTGGAGTGATTTGCCATTTCCTTCTCCAACTGATTTTACAGACAGGGAAACTGAGGCAAACAGGGTGAAGTGACTTACCCAGGGTCACACAGCTAGGAGTGTCTGAGGCCAGATTTGAACTCAGGAAGGAAGAGTTGTCCTGAGTCCAGGCCCAACACTCTGTGGGCCGTGGCGCCCCATAGCGGCCATCGTTTCCATTGTTATCTCTGCATAAATGGTTGTGGTTCTTTTCACTTCCATCAGTATCCATTCATAGATGTCTCCAGGTTTTTCAGAAGCCATCTCTTTCATCCTTTCTTACGACATAACAGCATTCCATCACATTCACACGCCGTCCCTTGTCCAGCCATTCCCCAGTTGATGGGCATCCCCTCAGTGACCACTTCTTTGCCACCACAAACAGAGCTGTCCTGCCCAAGTAGAAAAACTGCTTCACAAGCCATCAAGCACTGTGGAAATGCTCACTACTAATATTACCTATTTTAAGATCCTTTCCTTAAGAAGCCCCCAGATGGTCCCACGCAGTCTGGACACATGAGGCTGATGCACTTAGTGTTGAGCTGTGAGACGTCCCTGGATCCGTGTGCAGACGAGATGCCGAGTCTGCCACGGTGACGCTTCCCCTCCTCGCCACCGCCGCGGCAGAGAGCGGAGGCTAGGACTGGGATCACGCTATTCTGACACACCAGGAGCCGGAGCTGTGGCCGTGTTTCAGTAGCACGCCTGAACCTCCCTTAGGCTGTTAACCCACATTCTCCTTTATGGCTTTGCTTTATGGAATGAAGTTTCCTGAGGGCATCAGACACAGGATGCCCAGGAAGTTGTCCCAGCTCGCAGCAGTGTCCAGCTCAGGGATGAGTCCAAGGTCATCAGGGATGGGGGAGCTGCCAGACTGGCCTTTGTCATTTCACCCTGCCCCCCACCCTTCCCCAGGGTCCTCTGTAGCACCACCAGATCCGGGCTAAAGAGCAAAGGGCCATTTGGAAGCCAAAACCCAGCAGCCTCGCATTGTTCTGTTGTGACATCACTTCTCCGTCCATCCCCGTCCCACAAGTCTGTGGCCACGGCTCCAGCCGAGTGGGGGGTGTCAGGACGGCGGGGGCTGGCAGCCCGCCCCACAGTCTGAGTGCTCACATCTGTCTTTTTTGCAGTGCCCCTTTTGACAGGATTGCTGAGATCAACTTCAACATTGACGCTGATGATGACAGTGTAAGTGGGCCTGGGGGGTCCTTGCTGCTTGGCACTGGGGCAGGGGAGTTGGAATCAATGGTTGTCAGTCTCCACCCTGAGGCCTGCGCAGCAGCAGACTTGGGCCTTGCGGTTAGAGCAAGGAAAGGAAGGGAGGGTCAGGAGGCCTGAGGCCAGACTGGGGCCGAGGTGGGGAGAGCAGGAGGCGCGTCTAAAGGAAGGCCCTGTGCGTCTAAAGGAAGGCCCTGTGCGGGGCAGAGCGGGACCGCCCTCCTCCGAGAGGCCCTCTCAGTGCCCTGCCCTTCCACACCGAGGAGGCTTGGGGAGACAGCTCCAGGAGCTAATCTCCGTGGAACTTTGTTTCAGCCCAATGCATCTCTGTTTGAAGCATGCTGCAATGATCGGATCCAGCCATTCGATGACAATGAGGAGGAGGAAGACATCTGGGAGGACAAGGAGATCAACTATGCAACTCAAGCAAAATCCAGAACCAGGTGAGGTGAGGCCAGACGGCCCTTTCAGCTGACCCAACGGGCGCCTGGCTGGCCGCGCTCATCCCTGGGGCCCTCCCTGAGCCACGGGCGGTAGGGGCACGATTTCCTAGTGGCCTGCTCTGGTCCTTAGGGCCTCTGCCCCTGGAGTGCAGCAGATGGCCTGGCCAGCAGCTCAAACAGCAACCTGGACCTCTACCATCACTGCCTCCTCCTCCTCTCCCTCTCCATGTCTCTCCATGTCCTCCTCTTTTCTTCTTCTTCTTCCTCCTCTCCCTCCCCTGTCCTCCCACTCTTTCTGATTCTCCTTCCTCTCATGTCTTCCTCCTTCCTGCCTCTTCGTCCCAATCACTGACATCCATGGCTATTTATTAAGCAGTGCATTCAGCCGCGTTAACCAGTGGGGATGAAAAGCCCAAACAAAGCAGCCTCTGCCCTTTCTGGGCTCACTGCCTAGTGGGTCGGGAGGCAGAGTCAAGCTAGCACTCAGAGAAGGGGACTCCATGTTCACGGAGGCGTTTCAGGAGGGAGAGACCTGGGGAGATTTGGAAGAATCCTCCAGCAGGAGGAAGAAGGCGCTTTCCTGAAGTGGGGGGCCCCGTAGGTGGGTGTGGAGACTGGAGCAGCAGGTACCTGGGTGGTGGCAGATATGTGGATCTAGCTGATGGACATGGGGGAGCCAAGCAGAAGTCACCTTGCACAAGCACCCTGAGGGAGGGTGGGGGTATCAGCTGCAGGACCCACTGTGGCCACAGGAAGGCATCCCCCCCACCCCGCTTTTGCTGTGGGGTGAAGTCCTTCAGACCCCACAGAAGCCAGGGGACTGCAGCCACCTCCCCAGATTGACGCCACCTGCAGCCTGTGGGAAATGAGGGAGGGAAGTTTGGGGCACCAGGGAGCCTCCTTCTGGACGCCTCTTGCCTCAGCTCCAGAACTGGGCTCCTGGTCACCAGCTGAAGAGCTCTAAGGCCGGCTGTGCTGGTAAATGTTTTCACAACCAGTCCCCCCCAAGAAAGTGTCCGCCCAGCAGACTTGTAAGTTTGATCTGTATTAGGAACATTTTCTCCATCACTGCCTCAAGTGCCGACATCTGATAGAGCAACACTTGGAGCCCTGAGCTGTAGTGCCTGCTGTCCTTGAACATTCAACCCACGGCACTCTTGAGCCAGCTCCTCCCGAGCCCGCAGTCCTGTCTGTTCTGGTCGACCTCACAGGGGCCTGGCCGCGTGATCCTTTGGCAGCCACCATTCCCCCCACATCCCCACGTGGTGGATGTGGCAGAAGGAAGCAGGGCCGGGGCCGGAGTGCGCTCTCTGAGGCTCCAGACTCAGACCCCCTTCCTCTCGGAGGAAGTGAGATGGGGAAGGCAGAGGGGGCAGAGCGGATGCAGCGTGACAGTGGGAGGAGCCAAGGACTTGAATTCAGATCCCACCATGTCCCTCACTAAGTGACCTTGAACAAGTCGCTGCCCCTTGTGAAGTGGGGTACGGCCTCTCAGATCCCTTCTAGTTCTAAATCTACGAGTTGTGTGGGCAAGTGTGTGTGTTTTAGGCATTTGGGAGGAAGCTGGGAAATCCACTAGGAGGATTGAGGTCCTCACTACAGCTTTGGTGAGGAAGCCTGAGAAGTGGTGCAGCGGCGGTCCTGGAGGAGGCGAGGGGCCACCAGTCCCTTCTCATTAGACTTCTGGGGACCCCCTCCCCAGGTCTCCTCCTGCCTTTTTGGCCACTGCTGCTCTGGATCCTCCTCCAGGTGTCCCAAGAGCTCTGTCCTGGGCCCTCTGCTGTCTCTGGACTACTGGGTGATCTCCTCAGCTCCCATGGATCTGATGAGCGTGTCCTGCCCCAAATCTCAGCATCAGAGACGGATGTGTCACTGTTGTGGTAGAGTCATTTCAGTGGTGTCCGACTCTTTGTGACCCCATTTGGGGTTTACTTGGCAAAGATACTGGAGTGCGGGGCCATTTCCTTTTCCAGGATGTCCAGTAGACATCTTAAGCTCAACATGTTCAAAACAGAGCTCATTATCTCCTTCCCCCCTCTGCCCTCCCCATTCCTGTTGAGGGCGTCGTCACCTTCCCATCCCTCAGGCTCCCACCCTTGGAGTCATCCTGGTTGGAGTCACTCTGTCACCCCCAGCCGAGCTGGTGCCAGGGCCTGTTGACTTCATCTGTGCCTCATCTCTTGAACACGCTCCTTCCCCTCCTCTAAGCCTGCCGCCTCACACCTGGACTCTTGGCATAGCTGTTGATGGGTCTGCCTGCCTCAGGGTCTCTCCTCACTCGGTTCATCCTGCATAGATTCAGTCACCAAAGGGATCTCCCTAAAGTGCAGGTGCAGCCATCTCTCTCTCTCTTTCTCTCTCTCTCTCTCTCTCTCTCTTTCTCTCTCTCATGCACGTGCACACACACGCATGCGCGTGTACACACACACACACACACACACACACACACACACACACACACACACACACACACACCCAGGAGCAAATACAGAAGACTCTCTTGTTTGGTGTTCAGAGCCCTTCATAACTAAGGCCCTCCTCCCTCCCCTACCCCACCCCATCTTTGATCCCCCTGGCTGTTCCATCTCTTGACTGCAGGTGTTTTCTCTGGTTGTCTCCCATGCCTGGAACTTGCTCCCTTCTCATCTCTACCTCCTGGCTTCCCTGACCCCCTTTGAGTCCTACCTAAAATCCTGCCTTCTATGAGAAGCCTTTCCTGATCTATTAATTGTTTCCTGCTTTTCCTTTCTGTATCTTTTTTGTACGTAGTTGTTTGCATGTTGTTTCTCCCATTAGATTGTGAGGTCCTTGAGGGCAGGGGCTCGTTGTTATGTTTCTTTGTATCCCCAGCTCTGAGAGCGCTGTGCCTGGCACGTAGTAGGTTTAACAGATGACCGACCAGGAGGTTTTTGCTCTATCCTGGATGCTGAATTTAGGAAGGACTCAGATGAAATGGAGTATCCAGAGAATGGCAGTGAGGACAGGGAAGGCCCTTGAGTACTCCCCTCTGAGGCTCAGCCTAAGCAGTGGCATAAACAGAGAGAGAAACGGGCCACAATGTGTGTCTGACACCCCTGGGCTAAGGACTTGGTGAGGAGAAGGCTCCGGAAAGGCAGCCCGTCCTCCTAGGACAGTGATTAGATTGCATGGGCCGGGTTCCAGAGAGAGAACCGCAAGCAGGTTTCAGAGAGACAGTTCACAAGGCACCTACTGTGTGCCAGGCACTGGGCTGCGCACCTTACAGTTGTTTCCTCATTGGATCCTCACAACAGACCCTAACCAGCGGGGGGACCGTGGACAAGTTGCCAGCCTCTGCTTGCCTCAGTTTGCTCAGCTGTAAAGTGGGGATCGTAACAGCACCTCCCAGAGTTGTGGGGGGTTCGCACGATGCCTGGCACGCAGTAGGTGCCATATCATTGTGAGCAGTTTAATGACAAACCTCAGTTTTTACACTGAGAATCCATCCCCATTTGACTCGTTTGGTTCCGGAAGGGGTTCTACCCCAGAAATTGGAGATGCCTGGAAAGCTGGCCCTCTGCTTGCTGGGCTCTGGGGTGTTTGATTTTGTTTTTGGAAAATGTCCCAGAATCCCATGCTGCAGAGCCCCAGGCCCGCTTCCTGCAGGGGGCCTTCCCGCCTCTTTGTCCTTCGTCGGTGAAGGGCTCTGCGTCAGGTGGCCGTGATCTGGTGCCACGCTTCTTCCACCAGGTTTTCAGGGCCCTGTTTCCTGGCCTTCCTCTCACGCGGCCATTCTCTTCCAGCATCCCGGCCCTCCGTTGGCCCGTGGCCCTGGGTGTCAGCGGTATGGAAGGCTCAGGCGAGTAGAGCCGGCTGCCGGGCCCCTTCCCGCTCACCTTCATTTTGTTCCAGGTTTGGTGCATCACATACCTCAGAGTATTCTGCCAAAAGTAATCTGGAGAACGGGGATCAGGACGGCAGCGAGGACTCGGAGGAGGAGGAGGAGGCAGAGGCCGGGGAAGTCCTGCAGGATGGTGGCACTCCTCCTTCAAAGAGCAACAGCACCAGCGACCTCAGCCTGCAGGATGAAGACCTGGCCTCCTCGGAAGGTGAGGAGACCTCCTGGGGGCGATTCCTGCCTGGTCCCCCACCCTGCCCTGAGAACCTGCTCCTTGCAAAGGCTGGTCCTGGAGATGCCACATGAGCTCAGCCCTTCTCCAGGCACCACGCCTTGGCAAGCGACGCAGCGTAGCTTTTGGTGGGCCTGGTATGTTGGGGGACGGGGGAGTGCGATCACATGCCCAAAGGTTTGCCCATGCCATCCCCACGGGCCCTGGGGCCCAAATGGCTTCTCTCGGTCCTGCTGCCAGGCCTTAGCCCCATGTCCCTGCCTAGTCTAGGGCTCAGTAACAGGGGCCCTGAAAGTCCTGAGCCCTGATCCAGGAGAAGCTCTGGTCCTGCCAGCCTCTGGGCTTCAGCATCCTGCTGCCTGCCTGAGACAGTGGGCCCATTTGGGGCCTAGACTATGAACTCTGTCATCCCATTGGCGGGGATCGAGAAAGAATTCAGCCAGCCTTTCTCCTGTGGGCAGCCCAGGCCCAGGGCTCCGTGTGATGCTGCTGTCCTGTTCTTTTATGATGAACAGGTCCAGCCCTAGGTGTGGTCCTCACCTCTGGATGAGAGGCAATCTTCTCTTGGGCTGCCTCCCTCCTTCCTCCCTTAGCAAGAACCCAGCTGTAGCCACAGTAACCACTGCTCTCGCCTCCGCCCCCTGCCACCCCCTGCCTCCCCCCCCCCAATCTGCAGGCTCTGGATGGACAGCTGTATTTGATGAGCCAGTAAATTCAAAGCCCCCTCCCTCAGGTGTGGCCATGGACATCGGTTCTCGTGTATGGGATGCAGCTGCTCCAGACACTTCCACTTCGGATGAAAAAGGCTGGGCGAAATTCACAGATTTTCAGTCGTTTTGCTGGTAAGAGACTCCTGGCAGGGAGGACAGGACAGGCACTATGCACTGACTCATGCCTTGTCGAGCCTGGTGATCCTTATTGGGCCAAGAGGGTTTCTGGGGAGGTCTGTAAAGTGGCATGCGCTCGTTCTTCTGGCCCTGTCACGTGCATTCCCTGGCCTCTCTTTTTCAGCTCAGAATCAGGTCCTCGATGCAGTTCTCCTGTGGACACAGGGAGCAGCCCTTCTGAGGGGAAGCCCAAGCAGAGCCAGGACAAGAGCTGTGAGTGGGCTCAGAGCCTGGGAGGTGGAAAGGTAGTGGGGGAGTGCGTCTGGTGTATAGTGAAGCTGAGAGCGGGTCTGGTTCTGCACTGGGCCTGTAGCATCACTGCCACTGCCACTGCCCCTGCAGAGGTGAGCAGGTCAGCAGGAGAACCAGCAGCTTTGCCAGCTGCTGAGGGTCAAGTTGGCCACAGGGCTGGGCTCCCAGCTCTCTGGAACAGACTGTAGGGATGGGCTTCTGCATGAGATCCGCAAAGAAAATTCACCTGAAGGCCAAGCAGGTTCAAGGAAGGGATGTTGGGGCTTCGGGTTACCGCATGGCCTCTTAAAATATTCTGAAAATATTAGGGTTTCTTCTTTAAACTTTTGGAGCTTTATTGTGCATTCTTGCTAAGCCTTGGGCCAAAAGAGGCAAGATGTAAAACACGATGAGAAGAGGTCCAGTGTCAGCATGGCCATGCGAGCTCCATCACTGAGGAGGGCCCTGAGTCGCTGCAGCCTCGGGGGGACAGCGGGATGGAGAATAGAAAGGAGACCCGGGACATTCAGGCTTAGGTCCCTGTTCCTCAGGAGGCTTGCTTCTGAGCCTCCCGCTTGTCCTGCAGACAGAAGGCCCGGGCTACTCCTGCTTGTGTCCTGGTTCTCTAGCCAAGTGGGAGCTTAAAAAGAGAGTGCCCAAGGGGGAAAACCACAAGCTCTGTATGCTAAACTGGGTGTTCACAGTGCTTAAGCCAGCTCTAGAGAGGAACAGAGTGTAGGAGAGAGGGTGCTAGGATGCCCCAGGAGCGTTGGGCTGCTGCGTCTGCATGTGCTTAAGGGGTGGCCAGCAGGATGGAGGAGAGAGGATACTGTCCCAGGAGCGTTTTGGTGAAACACCGGGGGCTGGCTGGCCTGGACCTCCTCCCCAGGCCCTGAGCGCCAGACGCCTCTGGTGCTCATCAGGCCGACAGCAGACTGTAAACTCGTGGACGTGCGTGTGCCACAAAAGACAGGGCCGGTTCGGATTGAGATTGCTTCTGGGTTCAAGGCAGATTTCAGAGAGCAGGCCGAAGGGAGCGTGGGTCTGCTTCGTGCTCCCTCACCCTCGGAGTGACTGGGCTTCTCTTCCCTTGCAGTCAGCCCAGCTGCTCCCTGCGTCTGGAATGTGTGTGTGGCAAGGAAGGCCCCCCTGGTGGCCTCTGACAGCAGCTCCTCGGGGGGCTCAGACAGTGAGGAGGAGGAGGAGGAAGAGAAGAAAGCAGGTATCGTCACAGAAACCGTCAGTCTCGGATCTGGACAAGAGGGCCCCAAGTTGACTGTGGACGCCAAGAAGGAGAAGGCCGCCTTGACCAGGTGTGAGAGGAGGGGCCGGGCTTAGGAGTGGGCTCAGAGGTGATGCTGAGTAGGGCTCGGTTCCCCTTCTCCCCAGCTTGGGGGCTGTGTCATGCGCAGGGCAGAGATGCTCAGTCATGAGGCACCAGCGTGTTTCTGGCTGGGGATAGACTTTTGAGTACTCACTCCCTGAAGAAATCCTGTTTCAAGGGTCCCTTCCTCAGCTTGTCATTTTTCCAGGCAATCAGTACAAGAAGGTTCCTTTTCCACCTGTGCTGCCTGTCTAGCACTGGGCCTGAGGCTTGTCTGAGACGTTCTAAGGGGAGGCTCCTGGCTCAGGCTGCTTCCTCATCCCTTAAATCCGTGTGGAGTATTAGATGGGGCCCTCAAAAGTGTTACTCCTGCCTCACTTAACCTCCAGCTGATCCAGGCTGCTGTAAATGGTGTCTAGTGATCACATATGGTCCCCTAGTTCAGGAAAGCTGATCACCATGAAAAAGGGTGATGGAAGGTTCCAGACTAGTGCTGTGTCTCAGCTCCTCCCCAGGTCTGATCTTGGGAAATGGGTGAGGCCAAGGGTCGTACCTAAGGGAAGGCAGAATGGGGAGGTGCTCCTGGCCGAGGAGGCCTTGTGGGAAGAAGGCCTAGAAACCTGGGTGGTCACCAGAGTCCCAGAGCAGGACCAGGGAGCAGAGAGGCCTGGGGGGTGCTGTAGGGGATCCCTCGAAGGAACCTTCAGTGTCTGGGCTGTGGTCCCATATTGGGAGCAGTGGGGGAAGTGGCACAGGCGGACCATTTGAGCTGCCTCCTTCAGAGGTGGTGAGGCTTTGAAAAGGCTGGCAGGTGGGCCTTGGGGTGTGGGCTGGACGAGATCACTACCGAGGTCCCTTCCAGCACTCGATGACTCTGTCTTGGGAGATAGAAGCTCTTTAATCTGGTGCCTGGGCCTCGTAGGTGCTTAGTGAATGAATACTGGCTGACCTGTTGAATTGCTTTGCCTCTAGAGAGGGCATGGGAGGGAGGACTCGGTGGCACAATCTGGTTTCTTCTTTGCCACTGGGAGGGTGGTCACTGATGGACAGGAGGAGATGCACTTCAGGCTTGGGAAGGTTAGTACTCCCACCACTCGCCGTCTCCTGGCTGACCCAGGCTTTTGTCCTGTGGTCTCAGGCTGCCCAGTGTGAGGCTGACTGAGAGTTTCCCTGCCTGTGTGGCAGCCCTCCCCAGACCACAACCTGCCTGTAGCAGGATCTTGGGTTTCTTCACAGACATCTGGCCAGGTCTCCTCTTGGGTTCTAGTGCTTCTGCCGGGGCCCCTCACTGGAGAGGTAGCAGTGCACGCGCCCCCCTGGATGACAGGTGGCCCTGGCCCTCCTCTACCTCCACACCCCTTCTGATTCATAAGCCACTGTCTTGGAGGAAGGCAGAGCATGGAGGGCTTGGCATCTCAGCATCACTGAGGTCCGGGGAGGAGAGCTTGTCAGACAAAACAGCGGCCATGAGCCCAGCCTGGACGAAGCAGCATCTTACAGACAAGGCACCCTGAGCAGAAGGAAGGGTTTGTTTCTCCCCCAGTCCAGGCCGGCCCCCATCTGTACTCCGTCTTTAAGCACTTGCTCTCGGGGGTGTGTAAAGGCCAAGTCCAAAGAGAGGAAATAGTGGTGGATGCACATTCATTTGATTGGGAAGAGCTGCTGCCCATCTCTCCCCCACAGGGCAGGGCAACGTTGGGCCTCTCAGCTCAACTCGTGGACAGCGGCCAAGTGCCCTGAGGGGACAGAGCCTGGGCTAGCCTGGGGAGGGTGAGAGCAGTGCTGAAGCCTGTGAGGTGGTCCGGGAGGCCTTGCCATGAGGATTGAATGGGGCAGCTTGAACCTCAGCAGAAGACAAAAGGATGTCGAATTGGCCAGCTTCTTCTGTGTGCCCCCTGGGATTCGTGGCTGGGCTGTCCTTCTCTTTACACTGATCTGCCACATCAGCCCTAGGTGTTCACACCCTGCTCTGTGGCAGTTCTCGAGGTGCCCGCAGAGCCATCCCGCTTCTAAATAGAAAGTAGGGGATGAAATTCTTCTTGGTTCCTGACCTCCTTTCATCTTAGAACTCCCTTCAGGCCAGAAGCCCACTTCCTTTGGTCCTAGCACTGTGCTAGAGTGGCCCCCATCCCCGGTCGGGGGCTGCCAAAGGCAGATAAGATGTAGGCCCAACTGACGGAGTGACCGGCAGCCCAGGGCTGCCTTTATGCCTCCAGTGGGATCCTCACAGGCAACGGTACAAGCACGTTAAAGCCCAGCTCCCCAGGATGGGGTACCTTGGGAGGGAGCCCGTCATGGGAGAGACAGTGTAGACCCACAGGCACACGCGACGCTTCCAGTCCTAGAGCTGTGTTCTCATGGGCCCTGGCTGATGACAGGGTGGTGCAGTGGCTAGGGCCCTGTTGTGGCAGTCAGCAAGACCAGAATTTGAAATCTGCCTCAGATGCTTCCTGGATGAGCCTCCTGGGTACCTCCCTTCCCACAGGCGGGGCTGGACTGGACTGGACGTCGCCCAGGTCCCTTCCCGCTGGAACATGGCTTTAGGGTCTTTTAATGCATCCAGGTCCAGACACACAACAGAGCCTTCAAGAGTCATCGCAGTAACAGGCAGCTTAAAGTAGGGGAAATTGTTACATGTCTTCATTTGTAACTCTGTGAACAAGGTAAATTGGGCAAGGGAAAATATGCATCTTCTGTATGCTAGGCACTGTGTCAAGCAGTTTATAATTACCTCATTTAATCCTCACAATAAGCCTGAGAGGTAGGTGCTGTTTTTATCCCTGTTTTACAGATGAGGAAACTGAGGCAGACTGAGATTAAGTGATTTGCCCACAGTCACACGGCTAGGAAATAATCAGTTTGTACTCCAGACCCAGTGTTTTATCTGCTGTGCTACCTAGCATTTATTCAGCAGATAAGCTCTGGCTGGGGACCCAGAGTGAACAAAAAGATGAAAAGAATTAGGGACCATTTGGTGCTGCTTCCCGGAGTGGAGAAAGAGCGTTAGTGTCGGGAAGGCCGCCTGAGCACCAAGGCAGCAGGGAGGCAGGGAGGGAGGCCGAATGGCCGCCCGTCGTCAGACAGTCCCCATTCTTACACCCCCTCCCCCAGCACCCACAGAATCTTGTTTTCAAAAGCTTGACTTCTGTAGTACAGTGAGTTGAAGGAGAAAGAGAAAAGAGGAGGAAGAAGGGGCCAAAGAGAGGAGACCCCAATTCTCTGGATGTTTACTCTTCAAAAAAATACATCCCTTCAGATGGAAGAGGGATGAGCTGTCCATATCTGTGATAAACAGTATTTAAATTCCCATACACAGACACCCAGGGAGGCTTGCCTTCCTCATTTTTCTTGGAGAAAAGTCCTCCTTCTCTGTCCTGGAATTCAGATCCTCCCATTTTGCAGATGGCAGAGAACTCTCAGGCTGGGGCCTTGTACGCAGATCCACACAGAGCCGGGGGCTGGCTCACCAAATGAATAGAAATGTGGCAGAACAGATAGTTTCCTAAATCACAGTGCGGCCCACAGGCCATAGTGCGGATCTGGCGGAGTTCAGCTCTGCGAGTGGAGAGCCATGGTTTGGGTTTTACCATTTTTATTCATAACTCGTGTCAGAGCATCACCTTTGCTTCTGAATATCTCCTTCCCCTTCCTTCTACCCAGCATCCCTCTTGTATCACAAGGATTTTAGAAGAGAGGGAAAAACCCAGTATCTGGCAAGGCTAAGGGACATCTTCACTCTGTCTCCCAGTGCCCGCCATGGTGCACGTCCAGGGAGGAAGCTCAGTGCTTTGTCTCTGCTCCTGTCCTGGGGCAGCCTCGGCTGCCTCTGGTTCGGATCTTTGCCTTTACCTCGCGGCGTCACGTCGGGGTCTCTTCCTGCTTACTTCACTGGGCACGGGCCCCTGTTGTCCTCATAGGCTTTTTGGAGTAATCAAGATTCCTTGTTTCCTGTGCAGTCGTATTCCATTATATCTTTTAACCACAATAACTGTGATTTAGCTACTTCCTGATCAGTGGTACCCACTTTATTCCCAATTCTTTACTGCCCCCCCAAAAAAAAGTGCTGCTGTGAATATTCTCATGTACAGGGGACCTTGTCTCACTTCTTTCTTCCTCAGGGTATGCACAGTTGGATCTCTGGGGCCAAGGGCCTGGACATTTTGGTCATTTTTTTTTAAAGCACGGTTCTAGATTAAAGCCACATTTGTGTAACCACGGGTATAAATGACACCTTTGCCTTTTCCATGGGGGAGAATGGCTGTGGCTACGCACCAAGAGCTGAGATTGTCCTAAGAACACTCCCTCCCTCCCTTCTTTCCTTCCATCTTTCCTCCCTCCCTCTTTTCCTTCCTTCCATCCTTCCCTGTATTTGCCACATCTTCTTTTCACCAGTATCTCTACTCCTTGGGAAGTCTACTTCCTCCAAGCTGTTAAAAGCCTCCCCTAGAAAACCATCAAGCTCAAGGTCTTTGGGAGGTGGTCGCGTGTCCTTGCAGTGAAGGCTACCGAGACACCACGCACACGTTCACGCACACACGACGTTACCCAGCTCTGTTGAGACTGCCCCAGGTCCAGGGGGCCCAGGAACTGACGTTGTCCTCGTGTTCATGAGGGGCCCCTGCCTTGGGCTGCTGGGGACAACGGTGGCCCTTCGCACTGAGCTCGGGCCGGCGCTCGGAAGCTCTCCTTTGGCCCCCCAGAGTGGTCTTTACCCTTTTCTCTTCTCTTCCCCTTCTCTCGGGCTCCCTACTTGGGGCCTGCCCCTCTCAGCCTGTCACCATGGCTCTTGCTTGTATGCTCTTGAACCCACAGGAAGAGGGCCTGTAGATAGTAGCGATGCATCCAGGGTTCTAGAACCCCGGGGGACCCCTTCTCCAGTCACAGAGGAGTGGGGATAGCTCAAGAGCAGTGTCATTTGTGGGGTCCTGTGGAACCCCCAAGACTCTCGGTGACCTCTGGACTTCTGACCCTGAGCTCTCTCAGCTACAGGGACGGAGCCTGACCTGCCTCCTTTGGGGGAGGAGGAAGGGTCTTGAGCCCTCTCCAGTGTCTGGGCTCACCCGGATCTACCCTAGACAGGGTTTCTGATTGTGGATGGAAACAGGGGATGCAGCCAGCTCCTTCTCGGATTCCCCACCCTGAAAAGTACAGGGTAAGGTTTTCTGTTTATTCTCCGGAGAGCTGCTCTGAGGCATGACAGGTCAATTACCCTGATGTTTCATATGACTCAGCAGGGCTCCCAGATTGTGCTGGAGCAGGCCGGAGGTCCGGGCCTCTCAGGCCGGCCTGGCAGCTGCCGGTACCTTCTGAGGGGGCTTTGAGTGAGGGCTTGGTGTGTCCTCCTGCCAGCAGCGGCTGGGTTGTCACCAGGGCAGCACCACTGGTGGGTGAGGTCCTGGGTGGTTCCTGTGCTCAGAAATGAGACTTGGCCTGTCACCTTGGTGGGGGCCTTGCCCTCTGACCTGGTTGTTGGGGTTGTTGTATGAGCAGGGCTTACTTGTTTTAGCACTGAGAGTGTGTATTCAACCTAGGAGCAGCCCTGGCCACCTGCCTCCTCCTTGGCCTTCGCCGTGGGGCATTGAGAGAGAACAAGACGGCAGCCCAGACATGGTCTCCTGAGGGAGGATCCTTACCTTTCAGAGTCAGAGCTTTCCTTGTACTGATGGCAGTCCTTGCTCCCCTGAGGTCCAGCCTCGTGCCCCTGCCTGATGCGGACTGGCCCCTTGAAGCAGCAGGCTCCCTGAGGGGGCTGGGGGGCAGCTGTAAAGGTCTGACTAGTTACTGCTTCACCTGCAGAGTTTGAGGAAGTAAGATGCAAAAAGAAGAAAGAAAGATGGTGTTAGGGATGAAAGGAAGGAGCAGCCTTGACCCGATCAGCCTGGCGTTGTAGGAGTTAAGATGTGTCAGATGTGGCTCTTCCTGCTCTAAATCTGGCCTTCTGACCGCCAGAAAGTCCCTGGGAACTGAAAGCAGGAGGGAGAGTTCCCTCCCCTCTTTCCTCCTTCCTTTCCTCCTTCCCCAGCTTCACCTGCTTTGGGCAAGGCTGGGAGGAACAGGGCCTCTCCCAAGGGCCCCCTCCTAGGGCTAGCTGACCCTTTTACATTCTAGACAGGCCTTCTTTCTGGGCTTGCCGTCCTCAGAAGAGAGTCAGATTAACTCCCCAGAGGTTCAGGGCCCAGACCAAACCTTTAGGTGCTGCTCCTGCAGGCCTTTCTCTTCTTTCCTGTTTTCTGTCTGCTGTGCTCTCCTGGGGCCGGAATCCTTCCTTTCCTCCTGGAGATTGCATTGCCTCATTCAGGGTCAGGAGCAGAGGAGGCTGGGAAGGAAGGTCTAGGAGAAGCTCTTCCTCTGTCCGCAGCCCTGGGCTGAGCCTTGAGGGTGCCTGCCAGGAAGCCACTCAGTAGGGTGTGCAAGCAGAGTCAGACTGAGCAGATGAAACCAGGCCAAGGCCCAGGGTCTGCAGCTTAGCCAGGTAGCCACAGAATCCCGCCCGTATGTGACCCAGTTTCCTTCGGCTTCCTCCCCCACGGCCTTACTGAGAAGGACCCTGTTGGGCTAGGCATCCTGAAGCCTCGGCTTCGCCCCGTCCTAGTCTAGCCTGGGTCATTGGCCTTGGCCAGCCTGTCCAGAAGCAGAGCAGTGGGTGGACCAGTCAGGCATGTCCCCTGACCACTGCCCTCCACGTAGGTTGCTGTGGCTGCCTTGGGCCCCCAAGTTTGAACCTGTACTCATCTCTGACTGCCCCCTCTCCCTCAGTGCCCTTGGAAATGTCGTGTGGGCTGCTTTGAAGGATCAGGAAATGTTTTGGGTAGGAGGTGATGCCTGCGCTGAATCATGGAGTGAGGGGTTTTGTGAGGCAGGGCTGAGGAGGCAGTGGCTCTGAGGCCTGGCGGACAGCCAGTGCAAAGGCCAGAGAAGGATGGGGGGGGGGCGGTGTGGTTACACTGTAGAGTTGGGGGAGAGGAGACGGGAAGCTGGAAAATGGCTGGGGGCCAGACTGTTTGAAAGCCACAGATAAGTGACTGTCCTGGGAACGTGTGGTGGAAGAGGTCCAGATGGTGTGATGAGGAACTCAGGAAAATAAAGATCATTTGCAGCTGGGGGACCAGGGAAGGCTTCCCAGAGGAGGTGCCTGAAGGACTGTGGGTAAAATCTGATTAAAGATCAGCAGCTCATTGGCTGGGTGAGGCGGGGCCCGACTGGACCCCTGGGAGAGCTTGAGGGGCCCGAGTGAGCCTGGATCTGGAGCTAGGAACCTCCCAGGGCGCAGCCGGACGCCCCACTCGGTTATGCGTCTTGTCCAATCCTCTGTCCCCAGGTCCTTTCCTTTCCCAGTCTTGTGGGTGAGGGTCCACAGGCAAGATGGCCAAGCTCAAGGCCGCCCAAGGCCAGCTGCCGCTTTCCTTCTGGGCTTCCATTAAGCCTTCCCAGTACACTCCCATCAAGCGCCGATACTCTGAAGGGCCTGGCGGGGGGGGGGGCAGTGTCACGCCTCCTTTTGGGGAACAAAGGCACTGGGCTAGGCACCAAGGACGCAGTACTGGCTGCTAGTCCATTCTCTGTGCAGTGGAAGGTGCAGAGAAGAGGAGGAGGAGCTTTCTAGGCCTGAGGCCTAGCCAGAGGCCAGAGGGGGAAGGTCACTTAGAGTGAGATTGGGAAGGGTATGAAATGGTACCCATGGGGAACTACCGGGAGAGGGACAGGCACCGGCCCAGCATCCAGCTGAGGGGCCCCCAGGATTCGAGCCTTAGATCCTGAGCCTCCTGACACAGTGAGAGCCCCACCTGGTGAGGGGCAGCGAGGAGAGTGGCTGTGTAGTTGGATGGATGCATGCGTCGGGGACCTGGAGGGAGAGGTCAAGCCTGGAGATCTGGGTTGGAGTCATGGTACAGGGGTAACGTTTGGAGCTGGGGGTTAGCGCTTGTGGAGGGCTGAGGAAAGCTTGGAAAACCTTCCAGTGTGGGGGGAAAGAATGAAATGAGCGAGTGGTGGGTCAGAAAGGTGGGCAGAGGTGCCGGGGGAAGCCAGGGCCAGCCAGGGGACCTGTAGAGAAGGGACTCAGGAGAGTTGTGGGGGTGGAAGTCAGCGAGGAGGTGGAGGAATGGCCTCAGCAGCCCGGCTCGAGTACCACAACTCCTTCCAGGGGGCAAGGCAAGACTGTTCCTGAGCTGAGGATGCAGGAGACAGACTTGGCTATTGAGAGCGAGAGACAAAAACTGGAGGGAGGGCAGGGGAGTGGGGCCAGCTGCCCGCGGGCTGGCACGAGCAGAGCTTTGCCTTCTCCGCCAGTCACACAGAGCCTCTGGTGATCCATAAGCTGCCCACGTCAGAGAAGGGAGTGCCCAGTGCCTCGCAGCCCTCCCTGGAGCCCCTGAGCCCAGCTGCTGCAGCCATGCCCACGGTAGCCACCACCGCTGTCCTCACAGCAGCCACCACCACTGTCCTCACAGCTACTATCTCTGCAGCAGCCACGACAATGGCTACCACGGCTGCCCTGGAAACAGTGATGAAAGACAGGTGAGCTGGGGAGGCTGAGGGAAGGGATGGCAGCCTCTCTCCTGCTCCCTTGGGCTTCCAGAGCGTTCCTGGAGGAGTGGGGGGTGGGCATCAGAGACAGGCAGCTGCTGGTTACATACAGGGGCCTCCCACCAGCCTGGCTGCCCTCCTACGGTTGGCTCATTTTTTTCTGGTTGACCCCTCTTGCCATTGGGACCCCGGGACCCTGCGGCCCACAGCCGGCCCTGCTCTGCCCAGTGGCTTATCCGTGCCTGACGTGAATTTGGGAGGTTCGGGCAGAATCCCCCCTCCCCCCACCGTGGCTGGCCAGCACTTCCAGAGGGGGTGAGCCTGTGGAGAAGCAGAGGCAGGCGGCCCTCGGCCACCGGGAGTTTCCAATCTAAAGTGTTTCCCCTTCTTCCACCCTCACCCCCACCCCGTAGGAAAGAGGAGGCGTCACCTTCTCCCGAAGCCACGTTAAATGGTCCTGCTTGACGCTGCCGCCTCCCTCAGGCCGCGTCTCCCTGAGGCCGGGCTGCTTCCACTTAGGCAAGAAACTACCTGGTGATGCAAATGGTCTGTTTTTTTATTTTAATTTTATTTTTTAATAAATGCTGCATTGGTAAAGCTGGTGGTCAGGACCAGTCAAACGACGGCCACAAGCGAACCCTTTCTTAGCAAACGTGGGGAAGGACATTTGCATTGTCTCATGTAGCACAGGAGGCGCCCGGCCCGAGCCAGACTTCAGCCTGCTTTCTGTCCCTGCCGCCCACTACCCTGGGGCCCTTTTGCTGGGTTGTGAGTCAGGCCTTGGGCCTGCCCCCTGAACGTTGACCTCTTCTGCTCCGAGGGTCTCCTCTCCCGTCTCCCCTCTCGTGTGGCCTGTGGAGCGAGCCCCGCAGAGCTGGTGTGGGCAGCCACAGGGGGGCCGTGGCCAGGAGCCGGGTCGCTAGCACATGTGCGCCCCCTATAGCAATAAAGCCTCATCGGACAGAAGGAGCCGGAGCTTCCTGGGGTGGAGGGCGGGAGGGAGGAGGGTGGACGCCAGGGGCCCCCTCCGGATGCTCAGCCCTCAGCGGCCTGCAGGGGACTGGGACTGACTGCCTCAGGAACAGATCCCCGCAGCCCCAGGGCAGCGGGCGTGGGTGGGCCACAGCCAGCTCTGGACCTCGTGGACTTCCAGGCGGAGCCAGTGGGGAACCTGTGAGCAGTTTTCTGGCCTCTTGTTTTTCATGTTTTTTAATGGAAGCAGGAACAGCCACGTTTTTGCACTTTGTATCAGCGACAGCGTCGGAGCCCACGATCTGGACTCTTCACTTGCCTGTGTTCCCCCTCTTCCCCCCCATCTCGCCTCTGCCCAACTCCAGCCCCTGCCTGCTGGCAAAGAACGTGCCCAAGCAGGGCGAGCTCCCTGGCTCCAGCCTCGGGAAGCCCTGGCCCTCGGCAGTGAAGACCCGAAGGCCTGGGGCTGGGTCAGAACCAGCAGGGCAGCACCAAAATCCCCAAAGGTCTCAGGCCGAAACTAAGAAGACGAAACCTCAAAGGATACGTTTAAAGTTCTGCGCCTGAACCGCGCTGAAGCGCCCACCTAGGGGCAAAGCCTGGGGGTCAGGCAGGCTGCAGGCTCGCCATGTCACCAGCACGCTGACCCGGTCCCAGGAGGCGTGGAGGGAGGGGGCTCCCAGGGCCAGGAGTGGACTGGCCATGTCTCCTCGCCTTTGGCTCTGAGCTCTCGGTTTAAGAAGTCCATCGATGAGCTGGAGAGGGGCCCAGAAACCAGGCCAGACCGGGGGGGGGGGGCCCAGCTGCAGAAAAGAAGGCTCCGTGGGGGGCTGAGGCGTAGGCAGCAGGAGCAGTAAGAGGAAGGTCAGGGAGGCAGATTTGGGCTGAGGGGGCCTCGGGAGGTACTGAGCTCCTTGTCACTGGGAGTGCTCAGGTAGAATCGTGGTGCCCTCTATTAGGAGGAACGCAGTAGGGCCAGAGAGAGATGACCAGCTTCCGGAGATGGGGCCCTGGGAGCCCCAAGAATCTGCTGCCTTCCCCCCACCCCAAACAGACCAGGCCTCAACTATGGTCTTAGTGGACCTCTGCCTTCACTAGTGGAACTTAGTTTTCCCTCCACTGGCCTGGGGTTGGGGGAGGGGGGAGAGTGGTGAGATTTGAGAAGAGGAGGACCGAGCTTCTGGAGCTCACGCCTGTAGACTAGCTGCCCGAGTTCTCAGAGGCGTAGGGAGATGGGTCCCGTTCCCTGCTAGCCACTGTGTCACGGAGGGAGGGCAGGGAATGCCTGGTGGCAGCAGGACGTGCAGACAGGTTCCTTTCTCACCCGCGCCTGCCCGGGCTCAGGCAGGCGGTCTGGCCTGGCCCTTGGCGGCCTCCCAGACGAGCCCTGCCTGCGATGGGTCCTGGGCCCCCCCCACGCCTTCTCTAACTCCCGCTGGTGTCCAGCTAGCCGGCGCCCACTCTCTCTCCCACGCCAGTGATGCCTGTTGTGACTGCCCAGCTCTCTCAGACAGCTCTCAGAGCTGCCCAAGGTCCTGGCGACAGCCAGAATCCGGGCAGTGGGGGCCAGGCTCTGACCTCCCATACAGAACGTTTGTCTGTTCCCTTCTTGGTCTTTGATTTGCTGAATTTAGGTGATATCTTTAAAATCATGGTAAACATATCAAATGTACACTTTGAAATGGCCCCGAGTATAAATTGTTGCGCGCTTGACTGGGGGGCGGGTCCCATTAAAGAGCAGCCAGGGGTGGGGGTGGGGTGGCAGGGGTGGCTGTTGCGGTGGGTGCACCTCCAGCAGGGGGCCAGGAGCTGGTCTGCAAGCACCCGAGTGAAATGAATCTTTGCTGGACTTGGGCTCTGGCTGCTGGGAGGGCCCCAGGCTGGGTCTGGGAGAGGGAAGGGTCCAGAAGGATCAGGGGCTGGCCTGACAAACATCCCGGAGCCTGTCCTGCCACGTCTGTCCCCAAGGGAGCAGTCACTACTCCCTTCACCCCCCCCCAGCCCCCCATCGATGGGACTCCGGACAAGCCTGTCTTTCTCTGGGCCCCATTTCCTTCTCTGTGCTCCTTCCTTAGTGGGCTCATCTCTGAGAGGGCACCCTGGCCCCACTGTCTTTCCTGGGAGACAACCCTGCACAGGGGATGAGGCTCAGCCCTGTTCCAAATGTGGTTCTCCCAGGCAGTCATCAGTGCAGGAAGGCTGATAGCGCCTCGTCTCTAGGTCAGCACCCCCGAGGCCAATCTCCCCCCAGCCCAGGCACAAGGCTACTTCGATGCTGCCTTCTCTTTTTCCTGCAGCCTGCCCACCCCACACATCTGATCTAGCGTGTCGGCCCTCTGACCAGGCCTGCATTCAAGGCCCTCCAGCCTACCTCTCCTCTCCTTCCCTGCGTAATCTCTGTTCCAAGCACCAGTGCCCCTCCCCAACACCAGCCCAGGCTGGGCTTCCCAGCTGGGTGCATTGCTTTCCTGTTCTCTGCCTGTGAGCCCCTCAAAAGCTAGGTCCCCTGTGAACAAACGGCCTTCCTTTTCATTGGAGTGAACTGGGGCCATTGCTCAGGGGGCTTTCTAAAGGACTCTGGAGACTTGAAGCTGCCTGCCTCCGGCTGGGGATGAGTCACCTGGAAGAGCCCGTGACCTCAGCCAGCACCACGTTGCCACAGGAGCTCCCTGGAGGCCGTGGGGTCAGGGCCCCACTGGGGATGGCTATCCCCGCCAGGCCCCCCAACCCCCAGGCCTGGCCATGGGAGGGGAGCTCAGAGAGCAGGAATTCTTTTTTATTAAATTCCATCAGTTCTCTTTATATAATCCTTTGTTCTAGACGCAATACATGGGGGTGGGGCCGTCTGGGGCCAGACACATTTACAGAGACTGGGGTGAACAGAATCTACATGAGTGACAGCAGCCACAGGCCTGCCACAGGGTCAGGCTATTTACAAAACCCACTTCAAGGATCAGGCCACCATCAACCCCCACCCCCCAACCCACGGCGGGGGCGGGGGGGGGGGAGTCTGGCTGGGAAGGAGGGAACTGTACCATGGCTGTCTCCATAGGCAGGGGCTCCTCAGTCCTGACACCAGCAATAAATTACAGTCAGGGGGGAAGGCGGGCCTGCCCTGGGGCAGTGTGGGGTAGACAGAAGCCACATGGCCAACCAAAGACTCCTTGAGAGAAGGCGGAGAGACAGACTTGGAGCCCCCCCGGCCCAGCACGTTTCCAGGTCTTTGGGAGTGAAGTGGGGGTGGGGTGTAACTCGCTGAGTACGACCTACCCCAGGGCAAGGGTCAGGACAGGATGGGGACCAAGGACCCCCAGAGTTTATGTACAAAGTCAAGTGCTGAGGCTGGGGGTGGGTGGGGCCCCCACCCTGGTGCAGAATCCCAATACTGTCGGATGCCCTGGGAGGGCAGGGCCTGTAAACAAAGGGCAGACTGGATGGCCCTGCCCCCCCCCAGGCCCCCATAGTGGTTTGTAAGGAGGGCCAGGAGCTCCAGGGTCCCCAGCCGGCTCAGGCATCTGACAGGCAGCTCTGGAGCCGATCCACCCACTGCTGGGCCAGGTGGACGTCCTGGGCACAGAAGTTGTAAACCCGCCTCGTGGTCTTCACCTGGGTGGGGATGGGTCACGAGGTCAGCCCCCGCCCACCCCAACCACTTCCTCCCCCCAACGCGGGCAGAGCCCCGCCCCCGCCCCCATCAGAGCCACAGCCGTACATCGAAGAAGGCCTTCTCATCCACGGTCTTGGGGGCACCCATGGTGGGGGCTCCGGGAGTGACGGACTCCACTTCGGCCAGGTCGATGACCCCTTTGCACTCAGTGTCCACCCGGTGATCATAGTAGCGCAGCTGGGTGGAGAAAAACGGATGACTGGCCGGTTCTGGGGGAGGCCCCCTCCCGCCAGGGCCGGCTGCCCCCTGCTACCCATCCCCCCTTGCCTGGTGCTTCGTCTTGTCCAACACGAACCATCGGGCCTTCCAAGGCTTCATGAAGGCACCCTTCTTGTAGAGGGTGCCCTCGTAGGACCTGTGCCAACAGAGGGAAGGCAGAGCCCAGGGGGGATCAGTGTTGGGGGCAGAGGGCTGTGCCTGTCCGACCCACGGCCCATCCAGGCCCCCAGAGCAGGCTCCCCGCGTGTGGCCAACAGCACGGCTGAGGCCCCGGAGGGACGGGGGACCCTCTGTATGTGCCTGGGGTGCTGCCAGCCTTACGGAGGGACCCAGGAATACAGCCGGAGAGACTTGCAAGTGGGACCGGTTAGGGAGGAAGAGTAGGGTGTGAACGTCCCTTAGGATAGTGTCCAAAGCAGACCAAGCCCTTGGGCCTCATGGTCCTGGAGCCCTTTCTCCTCGCAATCCTCCACCAAGAGGGAAACAAAAGGCCAGCTAACGGCACGGCACGGCTGGAGACTGGGATGTGGGCAGGAGCCCCCGGGGATCTCAGAGGTCCAGACTGCCAGCTGGTGTACAGGCCCTGAGCTCCCGGCAGAGGTGGCCCTTGTCCAGCCAAGGCCTCCCCTCCACACCCACCTGTTTTCACTCTCGGCAGTCTGGAACTGGCTGTACAACGTGCTGGTACTTCGGCGGGCGGCCTGCCGGCCGCTGGAGGGTGTGGAGCTGCTGCTCTGGT